GCAAGACTAGTTGATTAAGGAAAACCCATTCTGGATCAGTGAATGATAACCTCATAACGTAGACGTTGAACCCAGCCGCGTGACTGATTCAGGTGGTAGATTTTCAAAGATACCTGGCACGCAGATCCAAACAACCATTTGCATAATTCGCTCTAGGTGTGCAAGTGCTCTTCTCTAAGGACAAGTGTGATTGTTGTGGATGAGGCGATGGTGAAAGAAACCATCAGATAGCTAGCTGTTAGTTATAAATATCTGTTTGTCGTGTTTGATCAAGCAAGTGAAGAGAGCAAGAGAAATTTTCTGGCGGTACTTTGAATTGAGACCGAGAACAGAAGTCATGTGGGTGAGTGATGATGGGGTCACCCCAAAGGCAAATGAAAAAAAGGTCCACATGGGTCGTAGTCTGAGCAGACCGTGATAGGCCCTGTGAGAACGCCATGCGGCCCCAAAGGATTGACTTAACATAGTCCATGCAAGTTGCATCGTGAGACCCATATTAAATATTCTCAACAACTTTGCCAACATATCACGCGGAAATGAAAAAGTCACATTAAACCAGTTGAGTTTTGTTGGGCGTGTCTTACAATGGGGATGACCCCACCGGAAGGTAACTGTTTAAAACCACAAGCTTGAGGAGGTCACATGGGAGCGAGGTTGCCTCAGTCGGAAATATGTTTCTATTATTGGGTCTATTTCGCAGTCCTGGTCTCTCGTTCTGGCTGCAAGCAAGCCCCAGCACTTGTGTCGCTGCTAATTTTCTGCTATGCCTCTACTGTTTCCCCAGCAATCCTTTCACCTCATTATTATTTTTTATGGATTTTACAACGTATAATAATCTCATTCTAGGAGATTCACACTATTTTTTGCTTGTATGATTTTGTGTCTTGTACACTGATTCGGCAATCAGCGATATCCTTTCAGGTTCAGGCCCAGGACAAGCAAGAAAATGATATGTCAACTTTTATTTTGCAGTCTGAATTTGGTTCTGCACAGTAAGAAATAAGTTGGGTCATGGATGCCTAGCACCATGCCTTGTTATCCACTTTTGAACCCAAAGTCAAATAAACTTATTCTCTAAACAGACTGGGTCCTCTCTGCAAGTCTGCATGGAGAAAGAATCAGCAGGGCCCAAAAAGAAAAAGGAACAGAAACCTTACAGTTCTGCGCGGGGCACACTCGCACTCTGGTACAAAGGTCTTTTCTGTGGGTCAGTCAAAAAGAGGGGGGGAGTATGAGAAGGGAAGAGGAAAATTGAAGGCATTGAAACAGAAGTGACATCTCTTTCAGGTCAATTGTGGTTTTTTCCAGGCTGTAATTGAGACATAACTCGGCCGTGGTTTTATGAGGAGGTAATGCATTGAACAAATGTAAGTAACTTCACAGGAAGCTAACCTAAACCATGTTTTCCGGAGATAGCTGTCCGTGTTTCAAGGTTCAAGCTTCAACGTTAAAGCCTTGTAGAGGTTTTCCAAATGATCGACAGACTCGGCCTATTTTTTTCAATATCCCCACGTGCCCTACGCATACGCCACTACGTTTTCCTATCACATCGCTGAATTTATAGGATAACCGTGTATTTTCTAATGTATAAAGCTCATTTCATAACAAATATTTTACTTATTTTTTTTTTCTAATATTTAAACCCAACTGAAACGTGTAGATGCATGAATTCTGAGAGAATTTGTATTGTTGAAAGCTTGCATATGATACAACTGCTTATAAATTTTATGTTTTATATTAATTAATATTATCATGACCAATACCATCTAACTTGATAGCTTAATGAAGTATTCAAGAACTAAGTGACGGAGATCTCAAAATAATTAAATCTGCCTTCCATTATGAATATTATGTTATGTATGTAGTAACTTAGTTGAAAATTTACTCTTTGCCTTTCTGTATTTTTGAGGAAAATAATATTTACTGTCAATAAAGTCTATTTCATATGCCCTTAAAAAAATAAATGTTATAATTTACACTACAGTTTTGATTGATCAATGATGATGGGTATTATTATTATTATTATTATTTTGTTTGGAGGGTTGAGAAAATATTAATTAATTTCCCCTGCTTCGGATGGGCCAGCCCAGTCCAAACATTCCTCATTCTCTTGTCACCAAAGGTCGTGGGGTGGACATTTTTCCAATGATGCCAGCAACATGGATTTCGTGGATCGTGGAAGAACGGCTTGCTTCCATCGTTCATTTTAGGCACGGCCACCGGTTAAATTTATGAAATTATTGTTAAAATGATTCAGACTTTATATTTTATGAAAACAAAAGGTAATCTGCCAGTCCCTATAATTTTATCAATCTAAGTCCCTCTAATTCCCACCCCCCCCCTTACTAGATCCTAAAAGTTTCTACAATTGAAGACTATAGTCCCTCCGTTAATCAGTGCTCCTAACGGCGTCAATGCATGCTGACATAGGATGATTTAAAAAAACACAAACGGACAATTTTGTTTTTTTTCCAGACTTACTCTTTCCCAAAGCAAGAGCTCTGTGATTCTCTCTTCCCATGCCTCTCTTTCACTCCTTTCTCCATTCCTATTTTTCTTTTTCTTTGTGCTTCTCTTTCTTCTCATTGTAACTGTGCTTCTGCACAATCTTGAATCTATAACAAGTTCAAGAACCCATGTAAGAGAACGAAGAAGCTCGAGATAAAGAGGTTGATGCCTATACGAGATAGAGTGTCAGATAACGGAGATGTTAGAGGGATTTTGAAGGAGCTGTCGATGTGAGTGTCCATGATCTCGCCTTGGAGGACAACATGGGACCGAATGATGAGAGCATCGACGTTGGCGGAGCCCTTCTTCTCGTTCTCGACATCATCGGTGTCGTCGAACTTTGAGAGAAGAGCCCTTGACCATCTACACTAGGATGGAGATAGAATGCAAGTATGGAAACAAATTGGGGTCACGCGTGGCTTCTTCAACGCCAGTCATCCTCTATCAGCATAGTGAATGGCATTTGGACAGAAGGACCATTGCCATTAACGGTGGGAATTACAAGGCCCCAATAAAAAAAAAAATAGAGAAACCTGGTTTAAAATTTGATAAAATTATTAGGACTCCCAGATTAATTTTTCTTTTATGAAATTATTGTTAAAATAGTAAACAAATAAAAATATAGAAATGATTTCAATGTATCAAAATTTGGATCGAACGATTTAGAATTTTAGTGGAAAAGTCATTTGGCAATTTAGTGATAATCTTATAAAATATTAAATTTTAATGGGATAAAAATAATGTGATAATTAAGATGGGAATGGGAGGGCACGAGAAAAGGGGAGGAAATCAGGAAAGTGGAGAAAAGTAATGGCGCGGCTTCTCTTGGATTTAGAGTCTGGCGAGATCCATTGGGCTGGACTCGAGTCAAAATCGAAAGGCGGAGTGGACTCGGGTTTGACTAGTAATGGCGGTCACCGTTTATTCTGAACTATAGGCGTTCACAACGCGGAACAAGCAAAGTGAGAGTCAAAGTGACTGTATTCAGGATTTGTGGGCACAGAGTGGAGGTGTGCGTGGCAAGACTAGCACGCATCACGAGCAGCACCAGTCTCATTAATGTAATTCAATCGCCATCCTAATTAATGCAATCTGGTTTGTTTTTAAAATGGGAATGTCTTCTTTCGTGGACGGGCCTCTTCTATCGCAGCGGATTGCTTCACCTCGTTCATGGTTCCTATTTCCCAACAACATACATATTCAAGCATGCACGTTCTTTCGGTGATTCGAAAGGGACGTCAGTGGTGTCTTCATGCAGTGGAATCATCCCAATCACTTTCTCAGAGATTTTCACCTCTGGTTTTGTCCTCCATCATCATGGATGAGAGAGGAAGAGAATCGTGAAGGTGGGTGAAAAGGACGCGTGAACTGAAATAAAGCGGCAAGAGCGGCAGTTTGCATGTGATGGCAACATGGTAGGGCCCCCCTTTCGATTTGCCTCTCCGTTTTCTCACCATGCCTCCTGAATTTTAATACTCTCCCCTTCCCATTTTTATATACATCTTGTTTTTCACAAGAATCTAATGGTTCTAAAATCACTTTGTATTGTATTAATTTTTATTTTTTGAATTCACATAATTCTTGTTAATCCAGTATCTCTGGTACGTTTTAATACCTGTAATACTAGTTCATTGTATCGATGCCAACGCTCTCCGCTGATATTTTGGAAGAACGGCAGTGAGAGTTTTTAGAGAAGAAAAATAACAATGAGGGGATGAACACAACTTGACACTTGTCTATTTATAAGTATAGTTTCACCGATTTACTTTTGTATAGATAAACTTTCAGTTGTTTTGACTCTCACTGCTATATTCCTTTGAGCTCCCACTGCCATTCTTCCTAATATTTTATAAGCATTCTGGCGTTGTGATTGCAGCATTTTTTTTAAAAAAATAAATTAGACAGTAAATCATTGAATTAAATAATTTAAGAGATAAATTTGACGAGGTTTTCCATTTTATATTTTGCTGATCAGAAAACCAGTAAAGGTTGGGTCACATACATTACAGCTGCCGACAGGAAAAAATACGAACAAAGATTATGAGGGAGTGGGAAATCGTAAATGGAGATCATTCAAAAGGGATAGAAAGAGACGTGGCTTGTCTTCCTTTCTGGGGGTTTGGTTATCATGGCAATACAGCTTTTTAGCTTCAAGGAAAAACATCTTGTGATTCTAAAACTCGGCAGGGGACACACGTGAAATCGCAACACAACAGCACTCGCAGGGCAAATGCAATTAGTGGGCTCTCTAGTGCAGGTTGATTCCGTGATTTGAGGCGATTATGGAGTAGAAAACCCCAAAGTAATGTTGATCAGCATGGAAAAGAGGGATTAAGAAACGCATGTGCCAGGTGGGGCCGCAGCTCAAGAAGTTGGTACGTGCATGTGCGCCCTGATCCTCTGCTCGCATCGCCTCCAAGGGCGAATGTTCTGTCCCTGTCACCCACAGTCAACTCACGTTTCCTATATAACCGAACAACCCTTTGCCTAGCACTCAAACCCCGTCTCCAAGTAGCATCCCCTCACCCACAATGGCTCTTTCACCCTTGTCTGCCATCTCTGCTATTTTCTTCATTCTTCATCTTCAGAGCACTTTGGGTGACAGCGGAGGTTGGCAAAGTGGCCACGCCACATTTTATGGCGGCGGAGATGCGTCCGGCACAATGGGTAAGTTGTAATACAATGGTCACGGAAGGTTGAAAAGTGCACAAGAAGTTACAACAATCATTTCATTTCTTTTGAGCCTGACAAGTGACACCACCACCATGCATCACTGTGGACAAGACCGGGCCTTTTTCACGCACCAGTGCTCGAACCATCAACAAAAGAACTGGATTCCTTCCCCTTCTCATGATGTTATTCTTACTGGCGTTGCAGGGGGAGCTTGTGGGTATGGCAATTTATACAGCCAAGGCTACGGGACAAACACGGCAGCATTAAGCACTGCTCTGTTCAACAGTGGCCTCAGCTGTGGGTCTTGCTTCGAGATGCGATGCGACAACGACCCCAAATGGTGCCTCCCCGGCGTCATAACCGTCAGTGCCACCAACTTCTGTCCTCCTAACTATGGTCTGTCCAATGACAATGGTGGGTGGTGCAACCCTCCTCTCCAGCACTTTGATCTCGCCGAGCCGGCTTTCTTAAAGATTGCTCAGTACAGAGCTGGCATTGTTCCCATTTCTTTCAGAAGGTAAATATATGCTGCCAAATAAACATGCCTTTTGATTTCTTATATTCACTAACGTGGTTGCTTGCTTGCGTTGGGGGTCAAAACAGAGTGTCGTGTGTGAAGAAAGGAGGGATCAGATTCACGATCAATGGGCATTCGTATTTCAATCTGGTTTTGATTTCAAATGTGGGAGGAGCAGGCGATGTACACGCGGTGTCGATCATGGGGTCAAAGACGGGGTGGCAATCCATGTCAAGAAACTGGGGGCAGAACTGGCAGAGCAACTCGTACCTGAATGGACAGAGTCTCTCGTTCAAGGTCACTACTAGTAATGGCAGAACCGTTACTAGCAACAACGTCGTACCTGCTAACTGGCAATTTGGTCAGACCTTTGAGGGCGGACAATTTTAGGAGCTCCTCATCGTCTTATTCTACATGTAAAATTGGGCATTGTTTCTTTCTTAGAATAGGAAAATGCGAAGATACCGATGTGGCCTCTAATGGCTGATGCTGTGGTAGCTATAGGCGCCCGCTAGGCCCATTTGTATTATGTTATATGCAGCACTTTTTTCGTTTTGCTTTTGCATTCAATCTTACCATGTCATGGCTTATTTGTTGCTTCAAGCGCAGGGACTGGAATTTTTTCGTCCCTGAAATATCTTTGGGCCTCCTTATACCAATGTCATGATGCTTTTCTTTTTAATAGTAGCAACTAGCAGATCAAAAAAGGAAAGCTACTTACTATAATTACCCAAGAATGGAGTAAATGATTTCCACTCAAATATGGTATAAAATTTAATTATGCAAATCAAAGCAAGTATACTGAATACTGATAATTGCATAAATACTAAAAATAAACTATTTTAGCCTATCACATCCAAAGAAAACTCGCCATACCCTACTCAAGAAGGGTAACCAACCACATTGTGTTCCGCCTTTCCATACTTGATGGAATTGAGGGACCTAAGTAGTTTGTTTTCTCAAGTTTAATTAGGAAAATGATTATAAGACTAATGCTACTTGCACGGATATTCAGAGGCTTACAATTAATCACGATTTTATATCTAATTTAATTCTGAGTGGCGTTTTGGTATGCGACGGTGAAGCAGCAAGGCCAAACAGTCCTCCTATGACACTACCACAGCATATGATCCGCCCTTTCAATTCTTTTTTTTTTTTAGTGAAAATATTTCTTTTGTTTAATGTCTCAAGTAGCATGCACCGAATCCAACGACATGACACCTACAATAGAAAGCGAGATTGCGCTCTAAGTCAGCAGATCCTAAACTAACAGCATTTTTTGTCCCCAGTCGAATATATTTTTTTTAATTCCTATTGCATTTTCCACATCGACGCATCACGCATGTTCGTGTTGAATTTGGAAGATTTTTTAAAGTTTGTACGTAGCCTATTATAATTAAAATTTAGAAGTAATACTTTTTTTTTTCCAAAGCTAATAGTCACCTCAATAAATTTGAATGTTATTTAAGGAATTGTCAATTCCTAAATAATGCTTTCTATAAATTGAATTTTGAAATGATATTTAAGAAGCTCAAACCACTACTATTTATGTCACACTCAAGTAATAAATTTAAAAATAATTCTATCTACCAATGTATACTTTTTTAAAATAAAAGAATAGTTAAATCATATATATATATATATATAGGTAAAACATGAACCTGCAGAGGGCACTATATACCCGGTTTGTGCTGATAAATTAACCTCCTACCAAATATCTAAGCCAACCTTTGGTGTTGAATTTCTTATTAAATGAACATGTTTGAACTTTAGACCATATACTTTGTTTTTTTTTTAAAAAAAAATTATATACAAAAAAATCTTCAAATTGAAGGTGACATTTTGAGGGGGAAAATATCAGATATGCTTACCCACAATCAGTGTAATCGGTAACTGACTTTGATTTTTAAATGATCGTGGCTTCATTTAAGTCGTTAGTATTTCATTTTGATATTGCAAGAGAAAATCCTTATTGGTTAAATGGCTATTGTCATAGTTTTAATTGCCCGATCTGCAATACTTGGATTCTTTCTACCATTTTTGTATTTTCATGAAGTCTTGCATGTTTTTGTGGTCAAAAGATAGGATCAAACTGAAATTCAACTCAATGCTTTCCTGTTTTTTTTTTTTTTCTTTTGTGGGGGGGGGGGGGTACTCTTATTTACTGAAAGCAACACTTTATTTGAATGAAGATGCAACCTCAATCAAATTTACAGCCGTGAATCCAGTATAGACATTATGTTGGTGTGGGCCAGCAACCAGCTGAACAATTCTTGTTGTCAGATCCAACACAACAGACTCGTTGAACCAATCTAAAGCCGGTTGCCAGAATCTGTTCAAGGAACTAACGATACAAAGCCATAAACTTGACTCTGGTTTGAGAGCCCATTCAAAATTTGCACTTCAACCTCTCCTTGCGGAGCCTCTTGAGTTCCTTGATCGTTTGCCAATGTTCTAGTGATAGGCTGGTCTCACCAAAGCTCAAGGACACAAGGCGGCCCATTGTTAGCCATCTAGAGAGTGAAGAAAATAAAAACACGACAGTTCGTATCGTTGTAATGCAAAAACAAACAGCAATGCAATTAAAACTATCAGTCAGTAAACTGCTAAAATCTTGGGGATTCAAGCTCCTGTCTGCTTGTCTTGCCACAACTAAATCATTTTCTACCACCTGAAATTGAAACTAAAGGATTCCTATGCGATCTCGCCATAAAAATAAACTATGCTCTTCATGTATTTGTCAAGCAAATTGGGGAATCCTGATAATGGTGAGGGTATTAGATCAATCGGCATAGTGCTTTACTGTTAATTCTATAAGGGAGCTACCCCATAAACCTCTTCAATTAGATATAAATTATGAATCACATTAATGAATGCAGCTGCGACCTAGTGATTGGCTCTGTATGCTAACAGCCAAGAGCAAGACTGATAAGCGGGAATTTTACATTAATTTATTGTTATAATTGACCTATTTAGTTGGTTATTTTGATACAATTTTAGAGGAAAAGAATAATAAAATTCCTGCTTAAAGAATTTAAGGTGTTTTCAGGAAAAGAAGGAAAAAGAAGAAAAAAAGAGACCTAAAACAGCCAGATGAAGGTCAAGGCCCAACCATCAGGCCCAAAAATCAGTCTCCACTCATGAACAAGAGAAGAATTGAGTCCTTGCCGTGCATGGGCGTAACTAGCACGAGGACAATCGTCTCTAGGAAACACATACGCGCAAGGAGACAGGGACAGGGTGAAGAAGATTTCTCCGCGCAAGGACACAAGGAGCATCGACAATCAACCACGCGTGGAGAAGCTCGGGGAGACTGCCCCTTCGATGTTCAACTACATGCAGTGGCAGACGTACATATATTTGAGGGTGGGCAATTGCCCCCACTCAATTTTGTAATAGCTTTTGTGAATATAAATTGGGTTTTAATTTGCCCATACTAATATATTAACTAACTGAGCGAAAAATAAGGAAAGAGGAACAAGGAGTGAGAAAAAGATGTCAGTTATCTAGACCTAAGTAAAATGTTAGAGTGCAAAATTTGTTAGGAGGAAAAAGGAGTATAATTGAATTTAGAACTTTAAATTTAAAATAATAGAAAAAGTGAAGTTGACAATGAGAGTATGAAAGTTTGGCACAATAGGTCATTGAGATGTTAGAATAATTTAAGTATTATGAACAATTTTTTTTTTAGACTTTTATTTGAAGCTTTTTTAATCTTATATTTTTAGTGGAATCATTTATTTTATTTTTAATTTTTATTAAAATCATTTGTATAGTTTAAAGTAATTTTGATCATTCTATGATCAATTTGTTATTTAATTTTTTTAACAAACCAAGTTGATATACGTGATAGAGATTTATTATCATTTAAACAAATTGTTGGAGTTTGAATCTTAATTCTTGCGCAAGTTTATGCACGTAAACCTAATTTATATGGTTTTATATATTGGCAAATTAAATTTTACTATCAGTAAAGTATATATCGTGCGTTCATGGGACTAAAAGATACGACCACGCGCAAACATACAGCAAATGTGGCAGAATTTTAATAAAAATCCACATGCAAAATTTAATATCTTATCAAATCAGATGAGATAAGACGAAAATGGGAAGCCAAATGGGGTAAGAAAAAGATATAAATAAAGTCCTAGCAAACTTTTGAGATTATTCGAGTATAAATCTAAAATTGAGAAGGCAATTTTGGAATTGAGATCAAAGTTCGAGAGGTGTTCTTGATGATTGAGGAGACAACTGAGTGGTTCTTGATCAAATATTATGAAGCTCTCCCATTCTTTTCCATATGCTTTTTAATCTTTGAATTGAATTTGATTTCTTTTTTACATTTAAAGCTATAAGTGGCTAATTTTTCTTTTATCCTTAGGAATTCCATGAACCTTCAATGTTTTGTAGATAGATTTTTTTTTTTTTGCAATTTTAATAAACAAGTTAATACTTAATAAGGTTTATTTTGTTCTCATACTATTGGTGGCCAACTTTGGTGTGTGTGAATCTTCATTTCCACCTTCCACAAAATAGAATCTCAAATGGACCATGTATTAAGCAACTTAGGATTAAATTAAATCTAATTTGCACTTAAAATAGACATATATTCCAGAGACTTAAGTTATCATTTAAAACATGTGCATAATTGGATAAGCCTTGCTTGAGACATTACAGAATAGCTACGGGATTTGTAATTGGTAGATGCATAATCTAACTTAAAACCTTAATTTTAAAGTTAAATTAAATGTAATTATTAGGAGAAATTGAATTGAAAAGTGTTAAAAGAGGATTATAATTACTAGGATGCTCTTAAATTGTTTACCTTAATTTGGATTTATTCTTTAGCTTTAATTTTATTTATTTTGTATTCTTAAATTTAACAAAAACTTCATTCTTTGATTGGAAAATTTAATTGAGATGAAACAACTTTCGCTTGTGCTAATTCCTTTTAATTAGTTTCTTGTGAGACAACCTTGATTTATTATACTACGTTAAATCCATATACTTGCGATGTGTTTTAAAATTGCATGCATCAAAGACTAACCTAAATTGTTGACCAGACTGTCTTAAAAGGAGCCTGGTTCATCAAAACTGTAGTCAGCAGGACTCGTACACCTTTTGCATTTCTGATTCGATAGAATGTCGCAGCAGTCTAACAGTGGCCAAATACCACCTCCAAGCTTCCACAGATTCAGCAACTATAGCTTCAGAATGGTTTACTGCAGAAGGTCGAAAAGGTACGATTACATCAGCTGGCAAGATATTTGATTTCCCCTCGGATAGAACTAACAGTTGGACATCAGCTGCCATTTCCATTTTATAGTACTTGAAATCATATTCCACGTGAAACATGAACTACCCATATGTCGGCTTCTATACTTCCACATTGAAAAATGAAATTTCAAACGAAAACAATGGCATTTCGAAGAATCAGCGGGTTGATCTTACATTGTGATGCATAGAGAAATATAGTAGTGGCTTTCAGCAGTTGTGAATAGCACGGTAATTTGCATCTCATAGGTGTAGATTCATTAGGCAACATTATTAGTGAACAGTCGTCAAATATAGGGGACCCAAAAAAAAAAAAAAAAAACTCACCTGCTGCAACTCCACGAAACTTTTCAGCAACCTTGCATTCTCCACACCTACAGAGTTGAGGGTTCCAGCTTCCAATTTTGTCTCATCAAAAATTATGTGTGAACCTTCAGCTAGCTGCAGAACTCCAGTTGCCAATCTGCATCATAACATTCAACACTAAAACTTGTAAACATAAATGTAATTAGAAGTGCCTCATTCAGAAATATTATAAATCATGATCACCTGTTGTTATCATAATCCTTTCTTGGTGCGAGTGAAGCAGTGTTCAGATAGTCCACTGTAAGAAGTATACTAAAACTGAAAGGCAAGAGATGCTTGATAGTAGTGGTAAGTTGATTTCCAAATACAGACACTATTTCTTTGCTAAAACAACTAAGATTCAGAGAAAGCTTGCCCACATCAACTGTGTCTACTCTAGCATGCACCTGGTCAAGAACAGTCCATCATACAAAAAGTTTCAAGACTGTTATTAGGATTGGAGTGGGAAGCAAACATGTTAGATATGAGTTAGGAGAAGAGAAGTGAATTACGTAAAGGATAGAAAAACAAATCAATAAATGCAGCATTTACATGGGCATAAAACTGAAAAATGTGAAGTTTAAAACTGCATACCCTAGATAGGAGAGGCAGCAACATGAAATGAGCAGCTAAACCATCATTTCCGAGAACAGATGCGAGATATCTTAACAAAGCATTCCTTATCTCTTTAATCATTAGGTTTCAGCTGGGAGATCAGAGACAGGGTTTATTCAGAATGGTGTTTGTAATCAATGTATTACACTAGAATAGAATTAGAGAGAAACAATTCGAGATGCCAAATATACGATTAAAATTTAAAACTCCCAATTCATTGAATGTTAAAAACATCATTGATGCAGAAGATGAAATAAATGGAAGTTAGTTCTTAAAAGATTGTACTTAGGTACACATGAAAACCACCCCTATAATGGGGTTATTATGAAGGAAGTCCTTAGCTGCAAGTTTCCTGTGAATAGTACAATGAACATATGGTACCTAAACCATGGGAACAAAAAAAAAAAAACAAAGAAAAGAACTTGCTCAAAAAACCACAGTCAATGTTGCCAAAAGTAAATTCAGACCCTGTGAATATACAAAGGTAAATTTACCTTGATGGCGGGTAAATGGGGCATCAGATCTTCAGAAAACCCAATTGAAGAATCATGATCATCATTGTCCACTTGAAGCTCAGTATCAAAAGAAAGCACACCAGTAAACTCGAAAACATCATTCAGCTTTTAGTCAGACTCTGGACACTCATATATCTGGCATGACAAAGGGAGGGAGAAAATTAAAGAGAATTATGATAATATGATAATATGAAGAATTGGAAACAACAATGAATAAATCTCAGGTCAATATTAAAAACAATTCCCATAAGACAGAGAAAGGAGACTACTTTTTACCTTCACAAGACAAGGAGGTAAATTGCCATCAAGATTAGGCCCCAAACTTAGATTAGAGCCAGAAGCCTCAAGCACAGGTCCCAAGATTCAGAAGCATGGGAAGCCTGTTCATCTGCTCTCTGAAGCATGGAAGATCAAATCACAAAAGGACCAACATAAAAATTGCACCATTAATTGTTACCGTTGCTGTAACTTAAAATCTCAATCAAGTTTTTGACTACACTGATATCATAGACATCACAGCCTTTTCGTCTAAATAAAATTCTGGCAGACTTCCAGTTTTACATGGCACTTTACCCCAAGGCAAACAAATTATTAAGACTGCACCTAACCTTAGTATTTATAATTTGAAAATAAAACGTTATAAGCAAACAAGTGAACAACTAAGATTAGCAAACTTGTGTTCCAATCACTTTAAGCAATCGATTAAGGAGAAAATCTTGAATGATTATTTTCCAGAAAATAAAATCAGGAACATGATGAAAATTCTATGTACCATTTTTTTGGTATTTGGAGAACCTTGAACCTCGATATCAAAAACCTGCGAATAAATTCAGCTAATGAGAACTGAGAAAGATGAAAATACAATACCCAGGTATTACTTGTTAGTGTTTGCATTTTAGTCCAAAATCATAAATAGGTGAAACACCCGTATAAAAAAAAGTCAAAAGTCAATATCGCAGTGACCTTTCCCTACTCAAATAATTATGATGATAGTTCGTGGACAGTAAATTGAATCAAAACACAAAATACGAGAGAACATGAGGCCAGAAAATACAGGCATCTGCTCGCAATCAGTAGACTCATGACCTACTCTCCACCGCTTTTCCCTTTGTTGGGATGCCCAGTCCATTAATTTATTCTTAAATGCTTCTGATGAAACTTCGGCCCACGCATTCAGTCCTGGGACCTGATAAAGAGAAAAATAAATAAGTAAATTTAAAAGTTAACTCATTAGGCAAGTCATGAGATTTCTCCACAGTCCTCACTCGTGCATTTGCATATTTTCTCCACTTCTCAGAATGATAACTGAAAATGGAGAATTGAACTTGTCAATGAATGAGACTACACAAGTAACACACCACCAAATTTTTCATGTGCTTGAGCTAAAGTGCTAGAATTGGACACTGTAAGAATATAGGTTGATGAGTATTGAGAGAAAAAGGATAGCTTTTCTTCAGATACTTAATTAGAGTTAGTTCTAAAGTAGTTCTTGACTAATGTACATAACAGAGCATTGTACGCATGAGTTAGGTGAAATAAAAGACTCTGTTCATTTTCCTCTCTCTCGTCCCCGCGGGCGCGTTCATGTCATAGGTGTCAAGAATGTCGTAATTCTAAACGACTCACTGGAACACAGTATAGTAGCCGGCGTTCCCGGATTCGCGGATCTGCCTAGGAGCTCATAGGACAATGTAAAACATCCGCAAACTTGTTGGTCCTCTACACTGAACCATCCTTTAATTAAAAACACAGACGTATGTTTGTCAGTACAAAACTTAATGCTTGAAGTTGATACCCAAATCTGCGCAGATCACAGATAGAAATACCTTATAGGCCCCAACATAAAATTCATTTCCAAGCATGTCCTGTATCATTCCAAGGAATCGAACTAGAGTATTGGGTTGTGCCCATCTGACTGTGGCAGGAGTCAGAACCGGAACCTAAAATGCACATACCCGCGGAAAATTTTAATGAATATTCAATATATTAGAGCAGGCACATCTACCAAAAGAAAACCACTGTGATTTATTATCTAAATAAGAAAACTGATGTGCCATTAAATTGACAACTAACTTCTCAAAAACCAAAATGCAACTGACGAACTAACTCCTGATTATTTAAAACAAGCCAAAATGTGGTTCTAAACATAACATCACCAATAGATTAAGGAGAGAAAAGGAAAACTTATCAAATACGATTAAGGCCAAAAAGAGTTGGGTGGACTTAACCTGAGAGAGACCACCCTGATCAAGGAGGAAGTGGCGGAAGAGATCGTTAGCGCCCCAATCCTTGCCGTCAAGAGAGGCAGGGTCTGACCCTAACGCGATCGCCTTCTCGAATGTTATTCTCACAGCACCGAGAGGGTTAACCAGAAAATCGTACGCCGGACCTACCATTTCTGAGTTCTGGGCCTTCTGACTTGTCAATTACTCCCACTGCCAAACGGAGGCTGATAACCAACATTCCCGCCAAATGGAGCTTTTAATGTCCTTTTCCCGCCAAAACACCGTGGTCGGTTCACTCCAGCACGCTAGTTCAGGCATTGATTGGGCTTGCGATGGGCGGAAAGCAAATGGGGCTTGGGCTTTCATACAAAACTTTCTTCGCTTTTGTACCAATAAAAAACTACGTTTATTGATTTTTGCTTAGTTAACATAAATGACAGCTTTTTTTTTTTTACATCAAATAAAACAAGAAAGACAATGTAATCAGTAATTAAAATAAGGGATTAAAAAAATTAATTGATATGAAAAATATTCCTCTACATTTTTTAATGTTAAACAGAGTTCAGTTTTTCTATTTAAATGCGTTCAACAATTTAGCCAGCCTGTAATGGATTTATAGTTGATTTTCTAATTTTTCACAAGTATACTTCTATTAGAGATCATCATGTTCAAGGAGGCACGATTATGAACACCTCTCTCAGAATCCAAACCCTAATAGTTGATTTATCACGTTGAAATACTTGCTATGTTCCACAGTGGCTTCTCTCAGTCAATAACATATGCGGCATACTGAAGTCAAGTACATTTAATAACTAATTTGGGAGGGCAAACGACCAATTGAGTTTTTTTTTTTTTTTTTTCTTTGGGGCACCAGAAGAGGGGTCAGACCCTGGTTTTTGTCTTCCAGATAAAGAGGGGGGGGGGGGGGGCAACAAACTTGATGCACTACATGACGTGAGCAGCACTCTGTATATTGTTGCATGAGCGTTTCAACCTGGAAACGAGGTGTAGTTAAAAAGAGCGACCCTGCATAGCCATCAGTGACATTTGCTTGAAGATTTCCAAATTCATTGACGCAGAGAGGAAAAAGCATGAAGCTTCACTTCTATATATAAAGAACCCAGTACAAAAGCAAAATACGTGCACGTGACTGCACAATGGTTTGAGGAACAATGAATGTAGTGTATATGAAAAGAAGAGAGAAAAATGAAAAGTAAACTAGGGTTTAAAAAAAGAGGTGAGGTAATTGGATCATCCCGAGAACAATCTGGTGAAGAAGTTGCCGGATTCGGATTTCTCTAAGCAAGCCACATGAACATATCTTCCAAACTTGTCCAGCTGCCTAGCCTCGCCCCTCGTATCCTTTCTGCATATCTTGCACGTCTTGTCAACCCATCCCTCCTCCACGTATTCCCCATCAACTGCGCCCATTTGATTTCAGTAAGTCAGAAATCAAAATTCCACACAAATTTCCACCAGAAAACTACATCTCGTGCAACAGTACTCACCCTCAACATAAGATTTGAAGAAATCCTTGTATGTCCCTCCAATTTTCCTCCGAAGAGCTCCATACTATATAACCAAAGCAACAGCGTTTCAGTTAAGAGAAATATGTACCGCGCGCTCTCGCATCCAGAAGACAAGAGTTTTGAAGGATCAGGATACGCATATATACCTGTTCTCTGGTCATCCTTTCTCCCGACCTCGTGGCTTGTCTGGCATCTTCGAGAAGCTGGGCATCCTCCGCGGATCTCACCTGAGCAAAATCCAGAGCTTCGGTCACGCTTGAAAACAGAGATTTCTTATTCGCCTTCGGTCCTTCCTTCTCTAGTTTTGCCGACACCGAGAATTGGAAGCTTTTATTGAGCCTCTGACTGGACAGGTCGTGAACAAGTCCAGGATTTGAAAGGAAAGCGGTGCGGGGAGGGGTAAAGGATAGAGTTCCCACACCCATTATAGCTTCTTTAAGGAACTTAGGGTACGCAGTCGCAACCCACCTTTCTTATATGCCGAGCCTGGGAACTGGGGGGTGTCTTCATCTGATTCAGCATCATTGGCTTCTTCAATTGGTCAGGCGCACTGCTACCACTCAAAATCTGGTGGCTGTTTGCGGACTGTGTGGCATTCTAGCATACACCAAAAATGAGAGGAGCTCTTTGTTTTGCTTTTGCGCATCTTTATTGCCACTAAAATTATGGTTCTAGATTCTGTACTTGGTACATGCATATGTATTTGAGTCGTGAAAATTTAAATTAATAATTTAAATAAATTTATTTATTAATTAATTTCAAATAAAATATAAATTTATAATCATTTATTTAAATTTTAACGATTTTGACGAGTTCTTGTACTAATCCCTAAATTATCTTAAAAAGAGTGCTAAAACCAACCCCCCCTCCCCAAAAATAAAAACAAAAAATATCAAAAGAATAAGGAGCAAGATACCAGATAAACATTACGTCTTCCCTCCCCTTATGAAGATCTTGCTGCTCTGTCACTATTTTTTTCTTCTTTTAATGAAAAAAAGCCCATGGAAAACCCATGAAAAAGAGGACAGGGAAATGTTGGGAGCATTACACGCCCTTTGACTACAGAAGCCTTGCACGAGCCTAACTTGACTCATTCCAATCACCCTCAGCCTTGATGAATGGCAAACCTCACAATTCTCTCTCTTCCATGGCCATTTTATCTCCCAAGTTCCGCCTCAATAACATTGTTCCCACTGTAAACTCTCAATTCCTTTCACGGCTAATGTGTGACAATTGACATGATAATTCTCAAGGGAACCACGACCATCACCATCACTCTCGAGAATGCTACTGTTACATTGTTACTGCATGGTGCTCGAAGCGGATAAAAAAAGCTAGCTTCACAGCTAGTTGAGGTTTGAGCTAATAAAAAAAATCTCGATGAGCATCACGTTACCCATAAATGAATATACACCCACATCTGCACGACCTACTCGACCGAAGGGTATCGATTTGCAGCAGGTGCCCCAGGCTCCAGGGAAAATGGTTTCTTTTGCATTCAATCAGCATAGAGAATAAGAGAAATAATGCAATCGTATATGAAATTTGCAGGACAGAATAGTTATTGCCTCCAAAGCCCAAACGGATGTAATGAACACTAGTAGCTTGCAAAGGACAGTTAGCCCGTACAAAACTACAAATCCTCAAGGCAACGATTCAGTCTTTCCCCTTATCACAAAAGCATTAAATTAGATCCAAGCAGATAGCTTGAAAGTTGAAACGAGGTGATGTAGCATGAAGGGCCCAAAAAAATTTGTGCCGCTATTAAGTAGAGTGATGAAATCAGTATTAAAATGACTAGAACGCTCCAAAACATCAAAATTTATGATTCCTCGAGGTCATTGCCACCCAAAAGAAATTATATTAACTGGAAAAGTTACCTATCCTCCATAAACTAAACCAGACAATAAAGGGGAAAAATACCTAAATATCCAGAAGGCAAAAGTAAATCATATTATATCGGAGAAACAATTGAAATTCAAGAATAGCTTTTAGGCACGGGCAGGAGCTCCAGCTCCCGCAGGACGGGGCGCTTGCCCAGGCTGACCAGGCCTTGGTAGATCATCCTGAAAAAAATAAAAAACAAATATTTCATCAAATGTCAGCACGTGAAACAAAAAGGCAGTGATTTAAAAACCCAAAGAAAAAAATACCACTTAACATTACTAATTATTTCAAAGGCACACATCATAACATGATTCATCCAAAGCATGAGCACGAATAATAAAACAATCTGATAGCCTGAAACTTTACACAAAAGCTATAATAGAAAGGAAACAAATAAATTCACAATGGCCAATCACTCAATTCATCATCAAATGAATAGCTGCAATAAATTAAGTTATAGCGAGGTTACTGAATCTGAATCTGAAGTTTAAAAGAGGGGAAAACAAAAGGATAAAAAGCTGTCAATCCCTTTATATTCAACAAGCTAGACAACATCAAAGCAGAGACTCGACGAAAAGTAGTTTTATCAGGGACAAAATCCAAATAACTGATTTTAAATCCCATTAAAAAACTACTAGAATAATATTTTGTAAATTAACCCATCAATGAGTTCAAACTTGCAGAAGTGAACGAACTTATAAATAGGTATAGGCTGTTTTGGTTTGAATAATAAAACACGGTTAAATTGGGGTTTAATGATCAACTGATTAAGATAGAGTAGGACAAACCCTGACTAAATTATCTAGTTGATCAGGCTCGTATCTTCCTCAAGTTATTCCAGAATTATATAATGCTTCATGAGTGATTTCATATTCAACAGCCATTTAAGTATTTGCAATGTTTGTATGTAGACATGTTTTAGAACATATATTGACCGAAATTTTATAATGCACTTTTTATCTAATTCCATCAATACTGAGATATAGAGTACTAAGCCACACAATTCATACAACAGGAAAAATGCCGTAATAAATTGCCATACCCTGCGCCTGATAAAGCGCTGTGGGGGTTCACGGTTCCTCCTATCTGTGCGAGATCGAACCCTCACAACATGGGAGTGAATTGCGCAGGACACGCAATATTGCATCTTAACATATAGCTTGGGAAGGGTGTATTCTGCATACAATTAATTAAGAAATAAAGCTTATACGATAAAATGGATATGTATACATCAATAGTTGAGAAAAGATAAATAAACCAAAATGTAAAGAATCTTACGGTCATATACACAGGCTTCCTGAACATCCCTAACTGCAGCTTGCTCAACAATGTTCCTCACAAGAAACCTCTTAATTGACTTGTCCTATAATTTTTTCCACGCAAATCACAAAACCACAATAAAAACCATGAATTCCAAATAAAAAAAATGCATAACTTCTAAAAACAAATGCCAGAGACAAGTCAGAGGTAGGAGGACTGACAACAAGGAACGGCAATTTGAGGATAATATTCGGATTCAATACCTGGGGGCAACATTTGCCACAGTTGGAGCAGCGAATGAATTTAACGTGTCCACGGCCATGCTTGTTGCGACCACCATTCCTTCTCTTGAAAGTCTGCAGAAGGATTAAGAAAAGAGTAAGCCAGAAGCAAGTGAAAGAAGAAAACGAACATTAATAGTAAGTGAAAGCTAATGGTCCGAAATAAGCAGTTTTGGAGAAGAAACAACCATGGCTGATGGGATTTGAAGCTCGAAGCTCGAAGCTGCGCACCTCCGACGATTGTTGTGGAGAAGACGAGAGAGATAAACTTAGGGTTTTAAGTTCCACATTTCTGGATTTTAAATGGGCCCGACCCAATGTCACAAGCCTTTATCAATGGATCAAGGGAATTATTATTACAACCCTTTGATTAATAGAGTTAATTAATTTCTATATCATAAGCCGTGTTTCTTTCTTTTGAGCATATATTATATATAATATAGTAACCTTTATTTCTTTTAATCAATATTATATCACATCGTCAAAAAAATTAATATTAAGGGAGTCTTAATTCTAATTCCTTATAGGCTAGGAATAGTTATAACTCATATTGGGTTTTATAAAAAAAAATATATTTGCCTATTCCGTTTATTTACTTCTTAAGCCTTGAAGGTCGAAGCCCCATTTACTTCGTAAGTTTTTGTTTTTGAGGCATGAAGAAATTTTGAAGAAAAAAAAAAAGGTATAAAGAAAGAAAAAAGGGTAACGTTTCAAAATGTATGTTTGTTGCATGAAATACTTTTTCATTTGTTTCAATTTCAATAGGATAATTATCATTTATTATTTGAGCGAAAACAAGTTTGGAAATTTATTTGGGGTCAATGCTTTATGATAATTGGAGATTGATATCCTTTCAATAACTCCATGTTCGACTTATATCTCTGTTTTTTTTTTTTTTAATAACCCGTATATAATATCTTTGTTCTTTGTCTAGTGACGTTGAGAAGGCTGTCGGCCACGCTATAAAATAGTATTAGGGAAGATTTAAAGACAACCTCACTTAGATCTCCCATGACACAAAAAATTGCTTTCAGAGTTTAATAAACTATGAAAATGCATTACGGGCTTGAGAGTCCTTCTTATAAATTTTGCTGCAAATAAAAAAATATATTACCCTTATTTCACTAGAATATCCATATATGTACAATATTGTATTCATAAATCCTTAATACAATGTTCATAAAACACACAATCAATCGACGAACATCAATTTGAAGTATGTTATTTTAATAAAAATATGTTATTCATTATAACTTTATATTGCACAGATGTTGCAAGTTTATATGTGTTTATTGTATTGAAATTAATAATATCGTATTGTACATTCCTAAATATTATATTGTTTATCATTTGATTGTTTGTACATTTTATTTTAAGTTAAATCATATTCACCAAATATGTTATGTATTCATAATATTGTGGTAAGAGTTCATGAATATTATATTATATATGTATGAACATTTTGTTAAAACAAGGATAAATGCATTTTTTCTGTCAACAATAAAAGGCATTGCATGCCCCAAAGTTTTTTTTACGTTGGCCCTAAATGTAATTTTTGTGTTCTAGAATCCCTAAATAAAGTTCTCTTGAAGATTTACCTTTTGGTGAGTAAATTTTTTTTCCTTAAATTTTGGTGGGTGCAAATTTCTGCGAACAGATGATTGAACAAAAAAATGAAAATATTTATACCTTTGCAAATTTAAAATAAATAGTTATAATTTTTAAGATATTTTTTACATTGAAAGTATGATATGTTTTTTTTTTTATTACTGCCTTGCTTTTATCTAATCAAAAGTAATACATAATACAGAACAGAATGGCAATTCTTTTTTCAGGAAATGAAACATAATCATCAATAAACATATCTTTGAAAAAAAATCAATATTTGAATTTACATTTTCCTTAGATTAAAATTGACACTCAAATAGAATAGTCTCGAATAAAAAGAATATGTATGACTATGAGTATAAAAAAATTTGACGCTAGAATGATTTCACAATTGTTAATTGTTAATATAATAAATAAAATATACATACGATGATCAAGATAAATTTCATATCATTGTGCAAAAAAGATGGCGAAAAAATTAACAATACTTAGACTAAACAATTTTGAAATTGTGTTTTTTGATAGCCAAAAGAGAGGATTCGAATGTGTGTTCATTTCTATCACAATCAGCATTATTTCTAAAATATTCAAGACAAATAAATCAATACTAGTAAAGGTTAGCCTTGAATGCAATAGCAGTCTCATGACGCCTTTTCGAAATAGTTACAGCTTAACATCCCCCGAAAAAACTGGGATAGCTAACCACAGCAATTGGAATATCCACCAGATAAAATTTGAAACATGTCCACGCATTTGTTCATCATCACCAATATTTGCCTGTCGGCTAAATATTCATAAGCGAAAAGCGACCAAACTATATGAGGCTTAAACCATGGGAGGTTATACTTTCTAATTCCAATTTGGTATAAAAACCTTTGTCAGGACTCTGTACTTTGGGCCTCTGGTTGATGATTTCAAAAGCCCCACCGTGAGGGGTACTAGTCCTTGTCTTTGCCCCATGCAGGGCCAGCAGAATTATTCATTGCTGCACTTCCATTTTCCGCCTTAAGCAGAGGATCTGAATCAGCCTCTCTTGCCTGGATAAGTTCCCATAAACCCGGAAAACAAAGCGCGTTCTACCACTAAATGACAGAGACGAAGATCACTCGAGAAATGCAAAATTGATTATGTGAAACAAAACCTGGGACGCTTCGGCTGCAGCTTCTGTAGCTTTTGGCTGATTCTCAAGAGCGCAATAGTAAGAATACAAAATCATCCCGATGAGGGCTATCAAAATCCCCAGGACGTTCCTCCAGCTGAATGGATCGTGAAGCAAAATATAGCCAAAAGCCAGAACAAGGCACGTCTTCAAGTGTCCAAGAACCTGGTAAGTGACTGGAGACGTCTTCCCAATCACGAGAAAGGTACTAAAATTTACAGAGATGGAGATAAGGCAGGACAGAACGATGAAAAACTGCATTGCAGAAAGAGACAGAAAAGAACGGATCAAAACAAAAGTTAGAGCGCAAAAATAACCTCATTAAACTCAAACTCTCACCGTCACTTGTGTTGTGTACTCGAAACCAAATACATTTCGGTTGGTCAAAAGTTTATCCAGATAAGGACCAGAGATCAATAAAGTGGCCGCTTGATATGGACATGATTGGTACAGCAACTGGGTGGACGAAACCTTGTACTTCTTCTGGTGGTATTTGTCATCTAAAAGGGCCAGATTAAGTTCTTAACAAGACACAAGATAAAAGGCTGTGATCCACAGAATAATCTTTCTCAAGCTTTAATGTTACGAAAAGAATAATATCCTCCCCAATGATACTCAAACCACGTACGAGAATCTCTTGACAGATAAGATAGTGAGAGACCTCTTCCAGCTAATGTGGATTTCATATATGCATGAGATTCACATTTTATTAAGAGATCCAGATAAGATAGGAGTATATTGGATGGCATATCTTTCTCTGCATGGTTAGCTGCATAGTTATCTTGATTCTTGAAAGAAGTTTTATAAGGTTAAGAATCGTAGTGTACAAGGCACAGCAAAACAGATACAAAAATTAGTTCCCCTAGTTTTAAGCTTTTTAATTATTTAATCAATGACAAAAATACCTCAGCTATGCTAAAACTTCACTGAGAAAATTTGATTTTCAAAAGGATACAATCTGCCAACGCATGTTGTAACCACTGCAAGAAATGATAGAAAAGGAGCCCAAAGCATTGAGCTGACAAATCAGTAACTGTTGCAATCCCAACACCTAGAAGGAGGATAACCAGGGAAAGTTGAATTCTTTTACTGCAATGACGGTAAAAGGAAATTGAGAATAATTAATACAGCTTAAAATTTATGCAATGCTATCAAAGAACTTAAATTCAGCAAACAAAATGCAATGGAATGTTCGATGCAATATCATAGATCAGTAGACGCCTCAAAGCAAAAAATGGCATTTGACATGCAGAAAAATGACATGACTTGAAATTTGCGAGATAAGAATGAGAATGAGAACAGAAAGAGGAAGTGATACAAAAAGCTAGGTTCACATACAGTGATTCTTTCATACACAACAACAAAACAGTAATTCTTTCATAGACCTAACAAAAATTATGAAAGGAAGTTAAATGGGACCTGAATCTCTTCCCAGGAAAAGGGTCTCCACAGAATAGTGCACGGAAAATAGCCAGCTTGGTCATCTGAATTGTAATCGAGTATTAGAATACCTTAAAGAACCGAGCAAACATTAAGACAGAAAACAGTGATTCTTTCATACAACAACAACAACAGTAATTCTTTCATAGACCTAACAAAAATTAATGAAAGGAAGTTAAATGGGACCTGAATCTCTTCCCCAGGAAAAGGGTCTCCAACAGAATAGTGCACGGAATAATAGCCAGCTTGGTCATCTGAATTGTAATCGAGTATTCAGAATACCTTAAAGAACCGAGCAAACATTAAGACAGAAACACACACGAGAAAAACAGAATTTCACCTGATAAAAGCCAACAGAATTGAACCCCAGGCTCAAATTTAAAAGTCCAATTGAGATTCCATTAAGAATCCCAAATCCCATAACAGCTTTCTGCTCAAAAGGTTTGTGCTCAAAGAATCTCATTTTTAGTGCCACGTGAAGAGAACAAAACGTGACAAGCAGATGCCAGCTTGTCAAAGTTGTAGCTGCATGTGTATCAGACAATGCATAAAAAAAAACATTAAAAGGGTAAACTCAAATTTAACATATAAAGGAAAAAGGCAAAGCCTTTAGCAGATCCCCAATAAGTGAGGTGATGAACTCGCCTTCATCACTGGACTGAATTATAATAGCATAGTTCTGATTCACACGATGATCTATTTAGTATTAGCATGGCAAGTAGGCTTAAACCTTGACTTGATAGGAAAAATGGATTTACTTACACTTCCAAAGAGCCATTGTTTAATTTAGGGAAAAGGGGCAAAAGTACTTAAAAAGTCATTGATTAAGCGCATCCAATAGCTTAAAATGAGAAAAAATGCACAAATACCTGTTAAGTTATTCTTCGGTGCATTTGTGGCCAAACCGTTAAATTTCACGTCCACAAATTTATGATCAACATCGCTGACTTTTAATAGCTTGGTCCCAAATGCACTAAAAAAAAAAAAAAAAACCTAACTTTATGGACGCTTGTACACTTTTACTCACTTTAGACTATTGAATGCTTCTGGCTAATGATTTCTTAGATATTTTTGCCCCTTTGCCCTTTAATTTACAAGGAGAGATATGCCTAGAGATTGCCTCACCTTCGCAAGAATAATGTGCAGTAAATAAATTACAGAACCAGAGCAAAAAAAAAAAAAACTAATGGTCAAAATCAACAAATCCAACCTAAAGGAATGTTTGCAGTGCTGTCAGGCCGTAGTTGGATTAGTTGCCCGGACCATTGATATACGATTATCTAAAGCAGAAATGAAGGCGCATATAATACGGAAGTAGCATGTACAATAAGCAACTTCCAGTTTATCAATAATCAGTATATAATTTTTTGTAGAAAACCAGTAGCATATGAATAGTGGTTGGATTTTATTGGTAATTGCAATTGTCACGTCCATGTTTGTACACACGTGCGTAAGCATTCTAGTGTCCACAAAGATTGTGGAGGGGATATAAAATAGCATAAGTAAAAGGTAGAGTTGTTCCAAAGCCTTAAGCCTCGATTCGATGATTCAAACGGATAAAACGATAACTCAAATTAGTCTCTTATTTGTCATCAAAGTCTTATCTAACCTTATTCAATTGAAAATCAAATCACGGTAAAGGACACAGAAATAGAACAAATACGGCTGTAGACATCATAGATGATCCGGAAACTGACGGAGTATCACTCAAGTAGACAAAGGTGTTTATTTGCAACTACCATAGAGAGTTTTATGAGCATACCGAAAATGAAGTGCAGTGAGCTCATTAACGCCTTATTGCAAATTACAATCGACACTGATGACACCACGGATAGTGTCAACGCCCCCATAGTTCCCAGCTGAAATCGTTCTCCCTCACCCATCTCTGTCTTCGCTCCAACAGCTTTATGACAATACAAAAGCTCAAAACTGCCAAATTCAAAACGTCAAAACAAAGTCAAAGAACAAGACAAATAACAAGAGAAAGACTTTCAAGCAAAAAACGTTATAGCTAAACCCACAAAGCAACTAAGAAAGCTTACGAAAGGGAGAAATTGAGGGGTGAGGCTAGAAGGGGGCGCCGGGAGGGGCGTGGAATCCAGCGAATTGCGATAAATGCCCCTACAATCTTAGATCCAGTGATTATAGAGACAGAAGGTTCAATGGGTATTGAAAGGATATATAATCTAGATGGCTCTAGTTCATGAAAGTCGTGGTACGCAGTAGGAAGGAATCACAAAGCTGAACACATTAGTTGATAGTGAAAGGAGTTCGGTGGAATGGACATGGAAACCAAATCTAACAATTATTGCAGTAACAGAAATTCGATTTTAACTTGTTCCGAATTCCAGGCGTGAGAGTGTGGCAAAAGAAGGAAGTTTTTGTCTTCGTTTCCGAAGTGAGAGGATCGGCAATTAAACTCCGAATGGTCAGCACTTACAGGGAGGAACGTGATGAATTCAGGAACAGAAGCAGGAGAGACGTAAAAAGGTCAAAAACTCAAAATAAATATCGCAGATTGGTACATGTCCGAGACTGCGGTCCGATTCCAGCGGCAAAGGTGGATGAAATCCCACTTGGTAATAATCTCTCGCCAGTCAAAGCCATGTCTTTATTTGTCAAGCTAACCATGAGAAGCTGTGAATTGAATTTGGATTTTAAAAATATAGAAGGAATGGCATTTATGATTTATTTTGGCTAAGTGCCTAATTAGCGGAGCTCTGTCATGCGTGCTTTTGTAAAATTTTTATATTATTTGCAAATGTATTACTTTTACTAAATTATACCGTTTGAAGAGTAGGATAAAAGCAGATGAAGATTATGCGCGAAATCCACATCTAATTTTTCAAAAATACTTTACGTTGGTGCTTTCATTTTTTAGAATCCCAAGTTAAAAGAATTATATCAAATTCAGATTTTTGAATTGAAATATATTAAATGAACTTAGAATTTTTTGAAAATTTAAACTTATATTATTTTCACATCTAAACATTGTGAAGGTGTGAAAAAAAATAAAAAATTACACTAAACTAGGGAGACGTGTAGAGAAAGATTTTTCAAGAAATATAAAGACGGTGTAAGAAGAATTAACACTGCAAATTTTTATATATTTTAATACAAATATCCCCTTGTTTACTCATGGTTGGCATGATTCATGAATATGGCAAAGCCAAGACTTCATGTTAGGGGTGTAAATTAATTTTAAAAATAATAATTCAAAAAAAATTATTTAACATTTTTTAAAAATAATCATATATTTTATAATTGTTCTTTATTTATTGTCAAATGCTATTAAAAATTTCCTTCTATATAAATCACTAATTTATAATATTATTTATATATACAAATTAATAACAAATCATAGATTTAAAAAAATTAAATAAATAAGTATACTCTTTTCTAAAAATTATGTTGGAGTTTTGAACTTAGTGAATTCATAATTAAACTTAAGTTAAAACATTCACCAAAAAAAGACTTAATTTTTAAGGGGTTCAAAATTTTATGACTAAAGAAAGTAAATATTATAATATTTATTATTTATTTATAATTTTTTTTAAATTGAAGGGGTGCATGTGTCCTTCCTCAAGTACATATGGCTCCACCATTATTTATGATCATGTGTTTACCTATATATTGCTGGTTGAGGATCTAGTCAACGAAAGCCAGATTGATTCTACATTGAGAAATCATGGGCACGACCAAATACAAATCCAAAAGCTATAGTATGGGGCCACAACGAAAAATTTATCAAAATGTGTGAAACTAACATTGATTTTTGCATTTTTCTCAAACAAATTTATACTTACTTTTTTAAAAAATTCCATGTTTGAGAAACATGAAAGCTCCCTTGTCTTTAAAATATATTGGCTTTAACTTAATCAACCTTTTGATCTTTACTAAATCAGTGAAACTCTCAAATTGTAGGTGAAGAAATTAAAAAATTCGAATACAAGAAAAAAGAGAGTTTGAATGAGAGAACTTAATAACTTTATTAATTTGCTTGCTTTTCTTTCTTGCTTCTTGTTGGTTACAAATGAGAGGCATGGTTGTTGGTTACAAATGAGAGGCATGGGGATCTTATAGGCCCTTCCTCCTTCTTCCAGAACATTCCCACCTTCTTATTAGACAGTGAAGATCTATCCAATCCTACGATTATATTCATTCTTTGGCGTTATTTTATAAAAATATTTATAAATTTTTTTAGATATTAACAAAGATATTTATAGATACTTTCTTCAAGATATTTGTAAGACATTTTAAAACATTCTAAAATATTTTGAATATTTTTATATTCATCCGTAAGTTTCTAGAAACTACTAGATTTCCCTAAATATTTTTAGATTGTTCTAGAATATTCTAGAAATGTACTATATTCTTTTGAACATCCTAAACTCTCCTAGAATTCTCGTCTTAGACATCTCCAAAAACCATCTTCACCTCGCAGGTTCTCCTCTTTCTAGACACATGTTGTGACACTCTCCCCCACCTAATTCAATAATGCCCTTGTCACTGACTCGATTCATGTGCCAAGGATCCTTCTTCTTCTTTATCGTAAGGCTAGTATTCTCTCTCCAAAAAGTCTAGCTCATCAAAGTGTGCACATACCTTTCTCCCTTTTCATCTAGAGAGAGACCATACCATTCATTCCATATACGGGTGGTTAAAGTATCATTACCTTCTCTTCCACAAGTTAGCTCAGTAAGGTGTACAGCGCACCACTTTATATAACCAGAACCCCATAATTCCTTCAGTATGGTATGTAGCAGCTTCCTCAAACCAATCTATGATGCTCCCATTATAGGTGGCCTACTAACTTGACAAACTTGTGTCTAGCTTGGACTTTCAACACAACCCTTTTTCTATTATAAGTGGCTTAGCCCCTCTAATGTGAAATGTAACAACTCTTCTAACTAATCTGTGATGCCCCTGTCATAGTTGACCTACTAAAGGAATCCACTAACTTGGCAAACTCAGGTCTGCTTAAACCTTCAACATAACCCTTTACCCCTTCAAGTTATCTAAGAGTATGATCCTCCAACATACCCATACCATCCTCAATTTTCTCAACTTTACCAACCATTTATTTCATGGTTCTCTCCCAAAGCATCGGTTTTAATCGATATTAGAAAACTCGAACATAAGAGAGAAGAGAGTTGAATGGGAGAACTTGATAGCTTTATTAATTTGTCACTGAGCAAAGCTTAAATTACTTCAATTAAAGCATTAAACATAACAACGTTGTGATGCAATTGAGGAATATTTACTTGTCTAAAAAAAATATCCACTTCGTGATATTGTCATTGAAAAATGATATGGGTGTCATATCTCATTAATTTAAAACTTTAAAACGAAACCGTAAAAACATTACCAAATGAAAAGAAAAGCAATATTAATAAACCAAGTAATGTGGAACGTTAGAGAACGATGACATAGAAACAAAATATGATGGAAGGAGGAAATTCTGAAAAAAAGAGAGGAAAATGTCAAGAAAATGAGCTGTCTTCTCCTTTAAAGAGAAGGAGTTTCCCTGATTAAAAGAGTTTCCTCCCGATTCATAATAACATGATAATATATGATCCGATTGAGGAACTATTCACTTGTGAAAAAAAACAACAATTGCGACATTATTAATAAAAACTAAATAATTATCATATTTTACAAGTTAAAATGAAAACGTAAAAGCATGCAGGAGTGCCCATAATGGAAAAAGGAGGAAGATTAATGAATTCATATAGTACATGATGCTAGAGCATGATGATGAAGAAATAGAAATAGAATTAAAGAAACAAATCTGGAAAGAAAGATGGAAGAAGTCAAAGAAGTAAAGGACTCTTCCCTTAAAGAGAAGGTAGAGATTTTTTTTTCTCACCAGAAGAATTCCTCCTAATATATAATAAATACAATAATATATGATATCATTGGTTAATTATCTACTTAATAATAAACATTATTCCTTGTGATATTATTATTGAAGATAATATAGTTGTCAGAGCTTATGAATTTAAAACGAAAATGTAAAACGGTAATATGTACGTTTTGTTCCTATTTTAAGGCCTATCTACTGCTCTTGAGAATGGCGGAGGAGAAAACGCATGAGGCGTGCTAGTCTCTATCTTTGCTTCCATAGAGTGACCTCTTGTTGAACACACCGCATTTCCACTTTCCATATTGACGAGAGGATCAGTTTCGCCGTCTCTTGCCTGGAAAAAGCAAGGAGATAATAACACGAAATCACTACTCTCACCCGAAATGATGGGACAGACTAACAGTACAAACTCGAGCAAAACAAACCGGGGTGATGCTGGGCAGCAGCTTCTGCAGATTTTGCTGATTCTCAAGAGTGCAATAGTAAGAGTATAAAATCATCCCTACCAATGCTATCAAAATCCCAAGGATGTTCCTCCAGCTGAATGGATTGCTGAGTAACATATAACCAAATGCCAATACAAGGCATGTCTTTAGGTGTCCTAGAACCTGATAGGTGACTGGAGATGTCTTCCCAATCACAAGAAATGTACTAAAGTTTACGGAGATGGAGATGAGGCAGGACAGAATGATAAAAGCCTGCAACACACGAAGTAGCGATCAAAAATTGCAGTCACAAAAAAAAAAAAAAAGTTTTCAGGGCAAAAATAATCTATGAATTTCTTTAGTAATCACGGTCACTTCGGTCGTATACTTGAAGGCAAATACACTTTGATTGGTCAACAATTTATCCAGATACGGACCAGAGATTAACAAGGTTGCTGATTGATAAGGACATGATTGATATAGAAGCTGGGTGGAGGTAACCTTAAACTTCTTCTGGATGGTATTAGTCATCTGAAAAGGGCTAGTTAAGATATTAACAAGGCCAAAAAACAGAGGATCCCCTTCTGAAAAGGGCTAGTTAAGATATTAAACAAGGCCAAAAACAGAGGATCCCTACGAAGAATGAAGTATTAGATAAACCATTTTCTCAAATGCAGTTCAAATGACTTTAATAACAGTAGACAATGCGCACGGGGATAGAAGGTGAGAAAACCTTCAACAAACAAAACAAGCCTTTATCCCACTAGGTGGGGTCGGCTACATGGATTGCAAGACGCCATTGTGCTCTATTATTTATTAAGCTTTTAGAAATATTATTAATCAAGAGATCACGTTCAACAACTTCCAGAGTGTTCTCTTAGGCCTTCCTCTACCTCTCTTAATCGGACTCAAAGTTATATGTTCCACTCTTCTCACTGGTGCCTCCCTTGGTCTTCTTTGCATGCCCAAACCATCTCAACCGATTTCTACCATTTTTTCCTCAATAGGTGCCACCCTCACTTTTTCACATATGTGCTCATTCGAATTTTATCTTTACGTGTATGTCCGCACATCCATCGTAACATTCTCATCTCTGCTACTCCAACTTTATGCTCTTGCTGTCCCGTTAGAGCCCAGCATTCACTACTTATAACATTGCCGGTCTGATAGCAGTCCGATAAAATTTCCTTTAAGTTTATTAGGCACCTACGGTCACAAATAACTCCTTTAGCTTTTCTCCAATTAAACCACCCAGCTTGAATTCTATGTAAAATATCTCCACTGATTTCGCCATCATTTTGAATAATGGCTCCCAAAATCTAAACTTTTCCACTTGAGGTATAATTTGATCTCCCAATTTCACTTCCAAATTATTTTCGAATAGTCCTTTACCAAATTTACAATATAAATATTCCGTTTTACTTCTACTCAGACGAAAACCTTTCGACTCCAATGTCCTCCTCCATAACTCAAGTTTGCAATTAACCTCTTCTCTTGTCTCTGCTATAAGAACTATATCATCCGCGAAGAGCATACATTTCGGGATTTCCTCTTGAATATGTTCCGTCAAAACATTTAAAATCAAGTTGAACAAATAAGGACTCAGAGATGATCCCTAATGTAGTCCAATCTTTATAGAAAAATCCTTTGTTTGACCACTAGGCGTTCTTATACTAGTTTTTACCCCCTCATACATATCTTGTATGGCTTTAATATAAGCAATCCGTACTCCCTTTTTTTCTAACGCTTTCCAAAGCACTTCTCTTGGTATACGGTCATAAGCTTTTTCCAAATCAATAAAAACCATGTGTAGATCTTTATCTTTACAACGATACTTTTCCATTAATCCCCTTAGTAGATAAATCGCCTCTGTAGTTGATCTACCTGGCATAAAACCAAATTGATTCTCAAAAATACTTGTCTCCAATCTCAACCTGTGCTCAATTACTTTCTCCCACAATTTCATTGTGTGGCTCATGAGTTTAATCCCTCTATAGTTAGTACAATTCTGAATATCTCCTTTATTTTTATAAAATAGGAATTAATGTACTTCTCCTCCACTCATCAGGCATTTTCTTGGACCGTAAAATCACATTAAATAACTTAGTTAACCATCTCACCCCTTCTTCACCTAAACATTTCCACGCTTCGATAGATATACAATCAGGTCCGTTAGCTCTACCATTTGCCATTTTTTTAGAGCTTCCTTTATGAAACTTGCAGGCCAAAAAAGATGTCGTGCCTGTAAAGATTTGAACGATCTATGAAAAGAATCTAAGGAAAAAGTATAGCAGCAGCTTATTTCTTCTATCAGCCCATGTCCCTCATCCGTCCTCAGCACAGTAATTTATCCTCTCATAAACAAAAGGCAAACACTCAATGGCTTTAGTTTCACCGTGTGATTAGCAACTTTCAAGCATTTGAACAATAACTTTATCATGTTTAGAGTTAGCGGAACAACGCTTGTTGTTTGTTTAGAGTTACTGCATATGCCCCAGTGAAACACATTCAAGATTTTAGTCCCTCGGTTTAATTATTTGATCAGATCAATGATATAATATCTCTGGATTGCTAAAAATTTGAGGTTCTAATAAAAAAAAAATTTCTTAAAGGATACAATCTGAGCAACGCAAGTTGCAATCACTGCTAGAAGAGATAAGAAAGAGCCCAAAGCATTGAGCTGCAAATCAGTGACTGTAGCAATCCCAACACCAAGAAGGAGGATAGAAAGGGAAAATTGAACTCTTCTACTGCAATGACAGCCCAGGAGAAGACTTAATACATTTTAAAAGTTATGCAAGTACTATTAAAGAGAGCTTAAATCACCCCAGCAAGATGAGGCGTAGTATTAGATTGTGGCAATTATAGATCAGGTAAAAACAAGGTGCTAGAGAGATGTCTTGAACCTTGTAAGATGCCAATCTAAATAGATATGATTGAATAAAAGCCAACAGAGAAAGCCTAGCAAATAGGCAACGAAAACAAAAGCAAAAAGGCTTGTGCATCTATGATATATTTGTTAGACTAACATTACAAATGTTATCATCATCATATTTATAAAATTTGGGTAAAAATACTGTACAATTCATGTTCATCTCATAAAACATGCACTTTTTTTATTAAAAAAAAATATTGTCTGCCCCCTTGCATTAGTAGCTTTTAACTCTCTGTGCTGTCAAACGTTAAACTCTTTGTATTGTCCCACACCCTCCCGCCCCCCACACAAAAAAAAAAAAAAAAAACAGAGAAAACCAAAAAAAAAAAAAATTCTGGTGCATTGTGTGGGGAGCTATTCTAATTTCAACACACACACTCTTAGGTCATAAACGCCATCTTAATGATAGAAGGCTAAGTGAGACCTGAATTTCTTCCCCAGGAAAAGGGTCTCCAACAGAACAGTGCATGGAATTATAGCCAGCTTAGTCATCTGAATGCAAATACAATGGAGTTCAGAATACGTTGAAAAAATTGTTTATACATCAAAGATTGTAAGTTTGAAACTTCACCATAGAGAACCAAAACTAAAATAAATAACTATACCTGATAGAAGCAATAACTGAAACAAAAGGAGAAGGCCCACAAAAATATACAAGTTCTAATGTCAAAAGAATAATCACGAGAAAAAATCAAGCCAACGACATTGAAGGACCATAGCCTCATAATTAGCAAAACTTGAAACAGAACAATAATCAGCCCAAAAGCAGGCACAAAACTTACGAAAGGGAGAATTGAGGAGTAAACAACTGAAGGGGGCTCGACGTGATTTCCAGCGAATGGTAAGCAAAGCGCTACAATCCAATGATTATAGAGAACGAAGGATCAGCGGATATAAACGGATTGATAAAGCACGATGTTGGGCATTGCTCGCTATACTAATCGCAATGGGACTAGTAAAATGAAATTGCAGACGCAGCGTTATTTAAAGGGAAACGAACCATTAGGAAGGCGTTTACTCGTACTGTCTCGATCCTAGTTCTGGGCATGGGAAGCTTCTGGAGGGGTGTTGCTATTATTTTCGAGGTTGACTAAATAGAATATCAATACAAATCGGAAAGGCGATTGCGGAGAAATGCGATAGGGGAAGAGGGTAATTGACCTGAACAATGCTGGCTTTCAAACTAATCACCAACACAACGCACCTTTTTTGAACCTATGCTGGAAACAATCTTGAATTGTTTGCCTTGCAAAGAAAAACGTAATACGTCAAGAATACGAGAGGAATATCAACAAAACAGAGGAAAGATTATCAAACCAAACAGCTGATCATTCATATCAACAGCATATAACAACACGAATTGAGCACAAAAATTTCGTCCTGTCTTATGAAGAGATGATTGGCTTAACTGACAGCGATGGCGAGCATACCACTTTTGAAATAGTGGCATGTGAAGAAGAACAACATTTTGAATAACCCAGAAGAATAAAGAAAGGCGTTGTGAAGAAGAACGAAAATGGAGAATGCAAGAAAAGCTACCCCTTACAGCTTGATCAATGAAGCTTGTCCAAATCTGAAAACAAGGGGTAGTGTGAGCGAGCAAAGGGAATAATTGCGGAGGGAAAGGAAGAGACGAAGGATGGAGAGTGGGGGAGAGCGCGCATAATATTGAAGAGTAAATCTGAATCTGACCCGTGGGGCCGACCCGTGGGGCAAATATGGGAAGCTCCCTCTCCTCTTTTAACTGACGTTTAAAGTCAAATGACTCATTGCTCTGGTGTCACTATCACCAATTAATTTACAATTCTCGACAAGTATTGGGTTAAATAACAAAATACCCAAAACTTTTTTCCCAAAACATCTGATATCCTGAATTTTTTCAAAGCATTTTTACTTAAAAAATTTAAAAAATAGAGCATTTTTATTATAAAAAATATTGACCGTCAACTAAAATTTGATCAAAATTTTTTATAATTTTATTCTCTTTTTTTTTATGTTTGTTCTTCAATCTTCATTTTCATTTATTGAAATAAGAAAAGTTAAAAAATTTATTAGAGAATGAATTGGAAACTAAACACAAAAGAAAAGAAAAGTATAAATATCCTTAATCAAATTTCAATTTAACGACTAACATTTGTGATTTTTAATAGTGAAGTAAAAATGCTTTGTTATTGAAACTTTCATGCCAAAAATGCTTCAAAAAAGTTTAGAATACTAGGTGTTCTAAAAAAAGATTTCAAGGCATTTTTATCTTTTAACTCAAAAATATTTATAAAATTTATATTTTTTAATTATACTTTTATTAAATACTTTATATAACTTCTTGATAATTATAATTTAAATTCACAGCATCATTTTTTTTAAAAAAAGAGTAATATGTGAAATAGGGTTATATTTAAAAAAAATTATAAAATTACCCAATACTTTATATTTTACACCAAACAAAACTTCTTAAATATGCCTTATTTGTGGTCCCAACAATTATTATTGTTTTATAAATTGTATTTTATTTTATAATATATCTTATGGAATGTTTCGAGTAATTGGTATATTCCATTCATTTAATAATTATTATTGTATTTTATTTAATAATATATCTTATAGAATGTTAAGAGTAATTGGTATATTATTTAAAAATTTCTCTGAAAAGTCAAGCGTATTTGATGAAAAATATATTAAAAAGATTGGAATGTTTTAGAAACATATTGACTTATGAAAATTAATTAAAAATATTTTATAATAACAATGCGGGGATATCTTATACTCCATTTGTTCAAAAATATAAAATATTTTTAATTTAATCTTACCTCTAATAAAATAATTACATACTTTTTACTACCTTTATATTTTTATATTTATTCCTATTAAATACTCTATAATAAATATAAAATTAATATCAATATGGGTACTTTAAAAAAAACAATGATTACACCTCGAAAGACTAAAAATACCTTACATTTGTTAACATTCAATCCCTCAAAAAATACTTTATCTTTTTTAACAAATGTGTATCTTTTTTATTTTTATGTGAGCAAGCAGTATTAAAAAACCCGCACATTAATTACTTGTTAACAGTTGGCCAAAAAAAATAGTAACATTAAAAAAATATCTATGAATATTGTATCGAATGACAAGCAACTATCAAGGGGGCATGTTTACTAAAATAAAAATTAAAATGGACCGGTGTAACTTTGTGAAATTGAGGGTTTAATAGTATTTCCCCGCGGTCCAGTTTTTTTTTTTTTCTTTTAAACTAAATTTTGTCTTCTTCTTAATTTATTTCCCCCCTTAGCTATCATTCTGACCTATGTTCTACTTTTTTTCATTTATTAAATTTTAAAAAATTTTATGTACCACCCCACTTTTATTAAATTTTGAAGTAATTGTTACTGTGATATTATTTTTATTAAATACCGCTCCCTTCATTTAAAATGTAAGATTTTTAACCAAATTTCACTCTTAATAAAGTAGTTACTTGTCTTTAAATTAACCATATCATTTTATCCTTATCCTTGTTTAATAAGATGTTTTACCTAAAATAAATATAAATAATTTATTTATTCATAAGAGCACATTTTAAAAAAATGTAATAATTATGCTTTAAAAGACAAAAAATGTCTCATATTTTTTAATATTCAATACCTCAAAAAATATCTTATATTTTTTAACAAAGAGAGTATATAAATTTGAATGATTAGAAATCACATTATTTTATATCTACTTAGAAAATAGAAATCATACCATTAAAATTTATTCATTAACTTATTTCCTTAATACCATACTTGGCAAGAGAGTAAGGAGAAGGAAAAAGTGGGAAAAAAGGTGAAAAGAAAATTATATTTTCTCCTACTTGGCTAATTCAAAAAAAAAAAAGGAGAGGAAAGTTATAAAGAAAATAACATGTGGGATCAACATATTTTTATTTTTAACTTTTTTCTTCAAATATGTAAAGATTAAGGAGAGAAAACTCAATTTTCAATTTATCTATGAATTTTTTCATTTCTTATTGACTGCCTCTATCTATTTTCATCCTAATCTTCTCTCCACTTTAAAATTTAGACTTTTATATATTTAATAATTTAAGAAATAAAGATTAAAATTGGACAAGATATTTTTCTTTGCTAGCATCAGATAAAAGAATTTACAATTATATCTTTGTTTAATAAGTAATACATATTAAAAATATATAAATAATAGGTTAAATATTAAATTTTATTATATGTAAATATTTTTTTATAAATAATAAGGTTATTATTATCTATATGAAATTAGCAATTTTTTCTTCCTCTTGTTTTTCCTTACTTAGCCAAGCATAAGGAGGGAAAATTATAGGCTTGTTATCTCTCCACTTTTTTTGTTCTCTCAATTCTCTCTTATTCCTATTTTCTCTTGTGAGCCAAGCACATATAAATATTCAAATAAAAAAACACCTACAGTCAATATACTCTTGATTTTAAAGATAACTATATTTAGTTAATGAAAATTATTTTAGAGATAAAAAAAGATTTTTTTGTAATTTTAAACGCGTTTTGGATTTAATTGGTTACAGATACAATAAAGCTAGAGACATGGTGATTACTGATATGATAATTTCATGATAAAAATAAGATTAATGAGCAAAATGAATCATGAAGTATTAGGCGAAAAGCACCTTAGACTCTAATCCTTTAAAATGTACAAAATAGATCATAAACTTTTAAATTAATAGCAAATTAAACCCAGTTGTTAATTTATCATTAACGCTGTTATTGTTCACTAAGTAGAGCCTAGTCAAAATAATGATGTGGCAGTTCTTTGCTGATATGTCATTTTAATCAGCACTATAGACCCTAGACTATTGCGTGAGTAGCATCATGAGCCCTAAACTTTAAAATTCAAAACAAATTACTCCCTGAATTTTAAAATTTAAAGCAAATCACCCACCGTTTATGTGCAAAATATTGATTATTATGTAAATTCAATTAACCTTAATATAATTTATCGTAGCAAATACATCGTTGGTCGATACAAACGACCCATATTTTTGTGAAATAACTTGTTTGCCCCTTTGTTTACAATGTCTTTCAAATTGTTTGTGTCATATGCTCCATTACTCTGGTTTAGTTTTATTTTAAATAATTTTTATTTATTTAATGGTAAAAGTTTAGGATTCCATTTAAAAAGAAAGAATTTAGTATCAAAAATTTTATAGATGATGGATGCAAAAATTAACAATTTTATTAATGAATTTCAAATTTAAATTAATCAATTAATTAAAATCATAAACTTTTTTTCAAATGGGATCATAACTTTTTACCATTAAATAAATAAATATTATTTAAAATAAAACTAAATCAGAATTATAGAATATATAAAAGTATAAAATACAAGTCATTTGGAAAATATCGCAAAAAAAAAAGAGAAAAAAATCATTTTACAAAATTAAGGGTCGTTCTTTGTGACCAACGATACATTTATCGCAATGGATCACGCTAAGACTAATTTAATTTAAATAATAATAAGTGTTTTATACATAAATGATGTGGGTAATTTATTTTAAATTTCAAATTTTTTTGTAATTTTAAACGCGTTTTGGATTTAATTGGTTACAGATACAATAAAGCTAGAGACATGGTGATTACTGATATGATATTTCATGATAAAAATAAGATTAATGAGCAAATGAATTATGAAGTCTTAGGCGAAAAGCACCTTAGACTCTAATCCTTTAAAATGTACAAAATAGATCATAAACTTTTAAATTAATAGCAAATTAAACCCAGTTGTTTAATTTATCATTAACGCTGTTATTGTTCACTAAGTAGAGCCTAGTCAAAATAATGATGTGGCAGTTCTTTGTGATATATCATTTTAATCAGCACTATAGACCCTAGACTATTGCGTGAGTAGCATCATGAGCCCTAAACTTTAAAATTCAGAACAAATTACTCCCTGAATTTAAAATTTAAAGCAAATCACCCCACCATTTATGTGCAAAATATTGATTATTATGTAAATTAAATTAACCTTAATATAATTTATCGTAGCAAATACATCGTTGGTCGATACAAACGACTTATTTTGTGAAATAACTTGTTTGCCCCTTTGTTTACATGTCTTTCAAATTGTTTATGTCATATGCTCCATTACTCTGGTTTAGTTTTATTTTAAATAATTTTTTATTTATTAATGGTAAAAGTTTAGGATTCCATTTAAAAAGAAATTTAAATATCAAAAGATTTTATAGATGATGGATGCAAAAGTTAATATTTTATTAATGAATTTTAAATTCAAATTAATCAATTAATTAAAATCATAAACTTTTTTTCAAATGGGATCATAACTTTTTACCATTAAATAAATAAATATTATTTAAAATAAAACTAAATCAGAATTATAGAATATATAAAGTATAAAATACAAGTCATTTGGAAAATATTGCAAAAAAAAAAGAGAAAAAATATCATTTTACAAAATTAATGGTCGTTCTTTGTGACAACGATACATTTATCGCAATGGATCACGCTAAGAATAATTTAATTTAAACAATAATAAGTGTTTTATACATAAATAATGTGGGTAATTTATTTTAAATTTCAAAATTTCAAGTTATAATGTTACTTGCATAATAATTTAAAATTTGTGATATTAATAAAAAATGACACATTAATAAGAAATTATCATATCAGTATTTTGACTAGATCCATTGAGTAAACAATAATAACATTAATTGTGAGTTAATAATGTGATTTAAATTATTATGAATTTAAAAATTTAAAATTTATTTTATATATTTTAAAAATTTAAGATTTAAAACACTTTTCACACAATACTTTATAATTTATTTTTTTCATCAACCCATAAAAATACGGGGTACATTGATTTTCGGGGAATGCTGGGGGCAAAGGCTCAAAGCCTGGAGTATCAAGAAAGTTGACCAAGATATGCATTTTAATAAATTCCTAATTAATTTAATTCCGAGGTTTCATTGGCGCCTGGCGAGGCCGCAGGGCATCGGGATTTACGGAAAACTAGCTGCGGAAACCAAAATCGTTGCTAACAGCATATTATACGAAGTAACTTGGAATCTTGTCCCGGTTAACACAAAAAATGCAGGGCACCTATACCGAGAAGGGCTTGCTTACAGCCTCCTCATGTGACGAATACCGAGTTCACAGCATCTTCTTCTTATTGACTGCAAGTCTATTCCCCAATACTCCACATCCTTATCCTGCTGCAAGTTTAGAATGTAGGCTACATCCTCCTTCTTTTTGAGGTGATCTATTCTTCTTCAGGTTTTTGTGGCTGGGAGCCCACAATCAAACCATCAGTTATAAGTGTGTAATTCATACCTGAATCAGGAATCAATGATAGCGTTAGTTAAACGTAGGAGATACTCTGCTTATAGGAAGCAATTAATTTAACCAAATAAAGCTCCGTCTTATGATGTAAACCAAAAAACTTGAAGCGCACAGAGCTAAATTTAATGTTACGGGGTAACCTAGGGCATAGACCGCATTTTACGGAGCGTGGTAAAGAAAGTATCTGATGGGGATCCCTCCATAAAGATGGTAAAGCTCACTCACACTGGTTTAACACTATAACTAAAGGCATCGTGTGAATCCTTATCCACCTCAAATCCAGCACAACGAAGGAAATGTATAGCGGTAATTCCTTTGACACCATCCTAATAATAATGGAACAGTAATTGACAGAAAGAAACCCATCAGAGATGTCGGCCACAACAAATCATACTAGAGACCGCATTTCTCAGAAACATATCTTAACAGTGTAAACATTGCACAGAACAATTTATACAAACGGAGAATTGCAGCGAAAAGCTAAACAGTAATTTTGGGGGAGCGAAGAGGGTAGAGACGAAACTGACCCAGGTCGTGGTGGTACTCATAAGGGTTCCTCATCATTTTCTTCATAGCTATATTGTACTCCTCCACCTCCTGTTCTTCGAATTAGAGGCCATCCTGCTTGCAGGGTTCTTCTCAGTCCCGCTGTCTGGTAGTCCACAAAAGATTTGCTGATTCAAGCTGATTGGATTAGTCCAAGCCATAAAACTGCATGATTTTTCCTCTTGCTCTGCTTTGATACCGCATCATTTTTGTGAGATGCTCTGAACAGCGAAGGAAAGCCAATATTACTCACAGTGCTCATCCCTGCTTCTTCCCCATGTGCGTTACTCACCGCTGATGCCAGATTATAAGATGAGAAGAAACTATCATTTGGATTTGACTAAGGAGCCCCCAGATATAATATGAACCCCAGACTTTTCCAAAATCTTTTGAGCAGACGATTGATATAAACTTTATTTGACCCAGTTTTTAAAAATTGTAAATGTGAATTTAATAATTATAAATAGAATATTTAAATTTCAAATATAATTTTCGAATATCAACGTGCAAACATATGATATAAATCCATGTTATAATTTTCACAAGTCAAGGTAATGTAACTTTCTTATCGAATTTTATGCGAGAATGGTCGTGATTGTCCAAAATGATAAAGAAATGTTATAAATTTTCTTTGAAGTGAATTTACTGAAGTAACATATACTTGAATTAAATTCAACAATACAGACATGGGAAGATTAATATTTGATTACAGGAACAACTTCGGTTTTTGTAATTATCATGGTAAGATCATTGCAGGCGAATTTATGTGTGTTGTTAACTTAAATGCAACACCCACCCCCCATATATTAATTAAAAAAATGCATTAAAAATTATTATTTGGGAGAATTACAGCTACGTCTTATATCCTAAATTATTGATAATTAAATTCTCAGCAATTTTTTTAAAAATAAGTTGCAAATATCAATTAAAATAATTACAAATAAATATTTAAATATTAAATATAATTCTTAGATTATAATAATAATTTTTATTCGTAATTGTTTGATTGATATTTAATTTTTTTTAAAATTTTTTTATCAGTAACCTAACTATTATTAATTCAATTTTTTAAGATTTAACTGCTATTTTTTCTTATTATTTTCCCCTCTATGATTGAACCGGTAGAGTTCAGAAAATGATGCTGAATTCTGTGGACAATATCAATGAGAAGATACAGATACAGGAGTCTCGCACTGTGCCTCAATTATTTGTTTGAATTCTTCTCAATCAATCAGCGTTGTTTTTCGGAAGAGTAATAAAGCACAACCAAATTTCAACTTATTGTGTTTCAGTCTCAGATATGCAATCTGGTGGATTTTGAACTTCAGTCATAACAATGAATTGCCTTTAGAGCATCTGCGTTTAATATGCTTTCAGAAAAAATGAGTCTTCAATGACTTGCTTCAAAACAGAATCTCTGATACTCTTTCAGCTGACGTTTTATTTTACTTTTTTTTACTTCAAGACTTTTCATGTATTTGTCCATCTAGATTGTTATTTCTTTACTTATTTCAGCTTTGTTCCTTGGTTGAATGTACTTGACTGGTAATCTTTTTACCTAGTTAATAAAATTCCTTGTTTCAGAGAGAGAGAGAGGAGAGAAGAAGATAGATGATACTGTAAGATATTGAATTCTATTGAAAGAAAAGGAAAGGATGGGTTGAATTAAAAACATGACGCTAGTATCTGATTCCCTTGGCAACCTCAAAGAAATGAGTAACATTGTCCTCAGGTGTTCCCACTACAATGCCATGACCAAGATTCAAGATATGTTTGCCTCTACCCGCTTTCCTCACAGTATCAAATATTCTATCAGTAATGAACTGTTTGGAACCAAAGAGAACGCCAGGATCCACGTTCCCCTGCACTGCTATATCTGCTCCCAATCGCCTCCTTCCATCCGCCACGTCAACCGTCCAATCCAGGTTTACCACGTCCACTCCGCTCAATGCTAGCCTCTCCAGCAACCCTCAGATTCCACTTGCGTACAGTATTATTGTCAGTTCTGGGTGGCTTTTCTTCACAGTTTCTACAATCAGCTTCAAGTATGGCAGGCTGAATTCTTCAAAATCCGCTGGACTCAACTCTGTCGCTCATGAGTCAAGTATCTGAACAGCTTGAGCTCCCATGTCCGCGTGGTATTCAACGTATCTTGCCATTGACCTCGTAAATTTCTGTAGTAAACATGGAGCACCTGTGGACAAGTTACAGTTCAGTAAAATAAAATAATATATTGAGTTTGGAAATGCGGCTGGATTAATCAGACGCATAGAATTTAGCCTTTGTCGGATACTTAGACAATAAGCAATCGTCCTAGACCTTTCTCTATCTATCTCAATCTATTTAACTTTCTACATAAGATATAACTGCTTAGTGTGGCGTCAAGCATCACCATAGCCATGCCGTGACAGGTAAAACTGTTCACAGCCCAACGAAGTAATCATAGGTTGATAAGAATGCCATGAGTTCCAGTATATAAAGAAAAAAAATGGAAATAGGGACAAGTCTATTCAAGAAAAGGTAGGAATAGCCATGCCGTCCATTTTACACTCACAAACTAACATAGATCAATCACGTTTTGTGAGTTGTAAGCATTGATTTGTCATAGTGACACGCCCTATTGAACTTGAGTAACAGGACAAAACAGTTGAAGATTACCTTGGGTTCATAGAAAGCAAATCTCTTCATTTTTTAGGAGTGTTTTGACTTTTGATGAGCCCCCTTCAACTACATGATGGGCAGGGTAAAAGGAGCCCCAACAAATCAAGAACTGCAGCTTCATTACCTACCTACAATCACTTAGGAAGTCTTTTAAATTACATAAGACGAAGAAATATGATACAAATGTTTACACATTCATTAGGAAAAAGGCAACAATAACATGAATTAAGAGGTTATATGTTAGGTTCTTCGGAAGCTACATAATTTACCAAAATGCATATAATATAATAGTAACATTGGAAAATATAAATAAACTTGTTCATTAGCATAGGTGTTTTGCAATTTTCCAGAATTATGCATTATCCTTGATACTGCATGACAAACCCTTCAATCACTAGTCGTCCGTTGAAAACTCAAAAGTGCTTTTTACTTTAGCAAACATAAAGAACTCCCTGTCATAAGATGCCAGAACAAAATCAAAAGCTTGTGTTGCATATGGGTGGGTGTTAATAGAAGGCCACATTCCTAAGATGGAAATTTACAGTGACATAAGACTAGCCAGGCCTCTTTCCAAAATTTTAGTCCTTCCCCAACATATGGAACTGATTCTTCAGGAACAAACTCCCTCGCTTGCTCAACCTGGGCAGCTGTGCAAATGGGATCAATATTACAGATCCCTTACCATTCACAATATCAAAGGGTACATTCATTCCGGAAAGTGGGGTAAGAATGTCTGAGAATAAAATCACCTGTTGCGGAGAACAACTTCAAGGAATTGAAAGGATAATCATAATGTCTAAGTATGAAACAAAAGTGCTTCCAGAGAGCATAAATCTATTTGAAAGTTTTCTTACTTACCCCATCAGGCTTGAACACATTCCATGGTTGTAATGAAATTTCTACCACAAGATCAACATTTTCAGATCTTTCACGGAATGAAGGGTATTTCTCACAGATGGTTTGGTAACTCTGGTTGATGAAGGTTAAAAAAATTATATTTACTTTTATAAGGAAGACATATTCACAATAAGATCATACTTGCAGGCCATTGCTACTGAGCCAAACTGGAGGTCGTTCATGTACCTCCCTGCTTGCCTCATAAGTCAAACTGGAGGTCGTTCAACATCTATTCCTCGAACAGCGTTAAGCAAAAGTGGTTCAGCTGAAGAAGTTGCTTTAGGTTCAACAATTGTTCCTGACGCAATTTGAAAATTTGGAGGAACAAAAATCATAATATCACCTCTCAGATTTGGCGATTAGTTCCTGAGTATTCATTTTAATTTGACAGACAACCCTAATCCAATGGGGGAAATTGACATCAAAATCAAGGAAACTGAAAACAGAAAATAGCAGACAGAACGACTTCTGGCTCTTCGGTTATTGTACTACACATTTAACCAGAGGGTCGAAAGATCGAACTGGCAGCGAAGAAGAGCAAAGAAAAGGAAAAGTAGCAAAAGAAACTCAATATCTAGGAACAAATTTTCCGAAAGCAGAATCCTCTACACGCCACGCAAACGAGGTGAAATTATCGGACGTATTGGGTCAGCAAGGGAAGAAATCATTAGTATTTGAAAACTGGGCAATAGTGTAGACATAACATTACCTCCAATGGAGCAAGAAATTTTGAATCGTGATAGGGAGGAAATAGTGAAAAATGACCTTCTGGTCGCAGACGAAGGAACAGACATAGATGGTAGAATAGAACTGAAGCTAACATTGATGCAGGACATGTCTAAAATTGAAGCTCGTTTCACCGTCTTTATGGCATCTCCTACCAGGTTGCTCCGGTATTTCAATTTTTGACGAAGCGCCAAGAGGTTAACCAGGGCTGAAAGCGAAGGAAGGACAAGGGAATCGTCAACCTCATCCTCCATGTCAGCAACAGCACCATCGATATGGAATATAAAATATACTCGTTTGATTATTATTATATCACACTTTTAAGTGTTCATTAAAAAAAAGTGAGATATACTCACTCTGATTTTATTCAAAAATAATTTTTTATCTAAAATATTAAAGAATTTTATAATAATTAAATTACATTTTATAATTAACAAAAAAGTATTTAATATAATTATATTATTATTTAAAGTCAAAGTAAAAATAAAAGTGCATCATACTTCTCATGATATAACAAACTAATTTTTTTAAAATACGTGAAGCAGTTAAGAGTATTCTATAATAAGAATCGGAGGAAGTTTTTTATTTTTAATAATAATATAATTATACCAAATATTTCCACATTAATTAATAAAAAGTAAAATTAAAGAGTGATCTAATTATTATAAAATATCTTATATTTTAAATAAAAAATTATTTTTAAAAAGTATCTTATAAATAAAAGAGGAAGGGGTATGTGAAATTTGGAAAAATTTCATGTGGGACCTTTGATAAGAGATAAACTTACTTACCCCATCAGGCTTGAACACATTCCATGGTTGTAATGAAATTTCTACCACAAAGTCACAACATTTTCAGATCTTTCACGGAATGAAGGGTATTTCACAGATGGTTTGGTAACTCTGGTTGAAGGTTAAAAAATTATATTTACTTTCATAAGGAAGACATATTCACAATAAGATCATACTTGCAGGCCATTGCTACTGAGCCAAACTGGAGGTCGTTCATGTACCCCCTGCTTGCCTCATAAGTCAAACTGGAGGTCGTTCAACATCTATTCCTCGAACAGCGTTAAGCAAAAGTGGTTCAGCTGAAGAAGTTGCTTTAGGTTCAACAATTGTTCCTGACGCAATTTGAAAATTTGAGGAACAAAAATCATAATATCACCTCAGATTTGGCGATTAGTTCCTGAGTATTCATTTTAATTTGACAGACAACCCTAATCCAATGGGGGAAATTGACATCAAAATCAAGGAAACTGAAAACAGAAAATAGCAGACAGAACGACTTCTGGCTCTTCGGTTATTGTACTACACATTTAACCAGAGGGTCGAAAGATCGAACTGGCAGCGAAGAAGAGCAAAGAAAAGGAAAAGTAGCAAAAGAAACTCAATATCTAGGAACAAATTTTCCGAAAGCAGAATCCCTCTACACCCCACGCAAACGAGGTGAAATTATCGGACGTATTGGGTCAGCAAGGGAAGAAATCATTAGTATTTGAAAACTGGGCAATAGTGTAGACATAACATTACCTCCAATGGGGCAAGAAATTTTGAATCGTGAGAAGGAGGAAATAGTGAAAAATGACCTTCTGGTCGCAGACGAAGGAACAGACATAGATGGTAGAATAGAACTGAAGCTAACATTGATGCAGGACATGTCTAAAATTGAAGCTCGTTTCACCGTCTTTATGGCATCTCCTACCAGGTTGCTCCGGTATTTCAATTTTGTGACGAAGCGCCAAGAGGTTAACCAGGGCTGAAAGCGAAGGAAGGACAAGGGAATCGTCAACCTCATCCTCCATGTCAGCAACAGCACCATCGATATGGAATATAAAATATACTCGTTTGATTATTATATATCACACTTTTAGTGTTCATTAAAAAAAATGAGATATACTCACTCTGATTTTATTCAAAAATAATTTTTTATCTAAAATATTAAAGATTTTATAATAATTAAATTACATTTTATAATTAATAAAAAAGTATTTAATATAATTATATTATTATTTAAAGTCAAAGTAAAAATAAAAGTGCATCATACTTCTCATGATATAAAAAACTAATTTTTTTAAATACGTGAAGCAGTCAAGAGTATTCTATAATAAGAATCGGAGGAAGTATTTTTATTTTTAAATATAATATAATTATACCAAATATTTCCACATTAATTAATAAAAAGTAAAAGTAAAGAGTGATCTAATTATTATAAAATATCTTATATTTTAAATAAAAAATTATTTTTAAAAGTATCTTATAAATAAAAGAGGAAGGGGCATGTGAAATTTGGAAAAATTTCATGTGGGGACCTTTGATAAGAGATAAAAAAAAGGAGGACCCTTAAATTTTTAAAATTTCATTGAATGACCTGTATTTTAAAACTGTTATGAAAATGATAAAATTGTCTTCATTTAAATAAATAATATAAACGATTTATTCGTTCTCATACTGTGTGTTGTTTGTTTGCTCACGAAATATTATTCATTTCTTTATTTTACTTGTTTATAGCTTTAATTTCACTAAATTTCATTGCAAGTGTTGGTTTCATAATAAAATGACTTGTTTGTTCGATATTGTATACTGTTCATTTATTTACAAAATATTATTCATTTTCCTACTTCACTTATTTATGGTCCTGAAATAAAATTAAGTGAAAGTAGAACTATAAACAAATGAATAAGGAATGAATAATATTTTGTAAATAAATAAATAACATATAACATGGGAACGAACAATTCGTTTATATTATTTATTTAAATGAGAGCAATTTTGTCATTTTTCTCACAAATTCAAAGGAAATTCCATGCCAAGTTCTTTAGTAAAATTTCAAAAAATTTAGGAACTTTTTTTTCAGTATCTTTGATCAAAATCTCTCACTGAAATTTTCCCTTGCTATTTTTCTTACCTTTTGTAGGTGAGGAAAAAATACTAAAAATAAAAAAATTTATAAGAAATTCATGGATTTTAAAATATTTAAGTTTGTGAAAAGAGTAAAGAGAAAAGACCATATTAGCAAAAAGAAAAATAAAAAGAGTAAGTACTGAATTGATGTCTATATTGAGGAAAGGAGAGTCTCTCCTTTTATTTCCTCCTTTTCCCTTCATTTCTCAATCTTCACCATTCATTATCATTTTATTAAATATATTTTTTAAATTATAGAATGAATGAAGCATAAAAATTAAATAAGTGGAGAGAAAAGAAGAGAAAGAAAAGGATAGACTCACCTCTCCTGTATTGAGTAATGGTTTTTTTTTTTAAACATCCTTCAAATAAGTTGTTTCTAACTTTTTTTGTGTGCCGAAGATAATTGCATCTAATAAAATAAATAAATGTGCACAGTTAAGGGGAAAAAATTGTAATATGAGAACAGCTTGTTATAAAAACTAGGGCAAATTACATATAAGTTTTATAGAGCTAACTTATTTATAAATAAATTTGACAAAATTTAAAAATCACAACTAAAGCCATTAGAATCCTAGTGTAATTTGAAATTTAAGTAAAAAGATAATAATGTCTCTTATTAAATATATATATAATATATATTACATCAATCAAATAATTTATAACTACTTCATCAATAATTTATAACTATAAGTTTAAATTTTCATAACTGTAACGTTATATATCTAATAATTAAATTAAATTAATTAGTTTAATTATTAAATATATGAAATTATAGTTATAAAAAGTTAAAGTTGTAATTATAAATGATTAATGAAGTAGTTGTAAATAATTAATGTTAAACTTTATTAATGTGTATGATTGTTTAAATATTACATATGTGAAGTTATAATTGTAAAAAAATTAAAATTATAGTTACAAATTATTAATAAAATAATTATAAATTAATTCTTTGATCGATACAACATACTCACTCTATTTCTATATATAATAAAAAAATTATATTACACAGTTTAAAAAAAATTAATTAATTATAATAATTATATTTAAAAATAAAAAAAGTAAACTAAAATGTCTTATGTTAATCAATATGAACATATATTAATTATTTCTTGTTAATATAAATTGTCAGGAATAATTTAAAAAATGTATAATAAATACTTATTAGAATATGTAACTTTGCTTATAAAAAATACAAATAAAAAATGATAATTTTTCTAACAATAAAAAATGGAGGGAGTATGTTTAATAGAGATATTATTATGTTTATAACTTAATTTCAAATTATACTCGAGTTTTAAAAATATAACTGTGATTTTAAATTTTCACAAAATTTATTCATAAATAAATTTACTCTATAAAACCTACACATAATTTTCTCTAAACTATGCCTCGAAATCTCTCATAAGGCAGTTGTTGTTCTTTTTGGTGCCACGTTGCGGGTTGAATCCTAAATAGTAAATACTTTGTCTTGTAATTTTTTTCAAACCCGTCATATTCCATTAAAACACACACACACACACACACACAACATTCCAGTGAAGCTAACAAGAATGACAAAATCTAAATCCACAGTCAAAGCTAGTTGCACAATTTAAGCCAATCACTCCAGCACAAAATCCTTTCCAAAATCAAACACCAACTCGAACTTCTATACTTAACCAAAATGAAAGCAAGCGCAACAACATAACCAATAAGCCATCACAATATTTATACATGAATTGTGACTATCATCTGTGTAAAGGCATTAATTAGCTTAGTTCAAGTCCTTTTCTTACTTGGCTTAGCCAAGGGGAGTGATATTTGGATGAATCCAAACTTCTTCCTGTGTCCTACAAAATGCTTTTGACTGTTCCGATCTTTCTCAGTATTATCATCTGTAGGAAGAGTAAGATCTTCCCTCAATGCTCGGAGCATTTGACTTAATGCTACCTTCTGCCTTACAGAATGATCCTCCATCTCCCTTCGAGCAGGATATTCTTCAGGAACTGGCCTTCTGCTCAGAACATCTCTCAACGAAACCGTAGACCTTAAAACTGGCTTGGGATCGTTATTTTTCGTTGTCGTTGACCTCATTACATCTGGAAGGGGCGGGTGACGATAATTCCCCCCCTGGTTGAGCTTTTTGTTCTTACTAGGGCTGTAAATCACTTGTCCTTTCAGTTCATCATCAGGAAGCCATCTCCGCAGAGCCTCTTTAGCAGCATGTTGCTTGCTGTTTGCAGTTTCAATTCTGTTTAAAGCCTCTGTCAAGACCTGCTTGCTATGTAGAACTTCTGCCGAAGCTTCCTCCAACCAATTCAGAATAGTCAGTTTAGAAATGTTTGTTTCATCCATGTGGAACTGGGAATCTATTACCTTTCTCAAGGTTGACTCTTCAGGTTCATGAGCTTTGGGATTTAAAGAAGAATGCTCCCTTAAATCAAAGGTCACTCTCCGAGGTTCTGGCAGTGCTATTCCTGTTCCTCGTGACCTTTCAGTGCCAGACAGAGCCTTGATTTCAGCAAGAGCAATGGCTTCTGCTGCCCTTGCGGCTTCCTCCATCTTTTTAGCTGCAAACCACCTCATCTCAGCAGTCTTCATGCTTAATCCATTATCTTCCTCTGGAGGGAAGGACCTGGAAATGTCAAAATTCTTTGTTTCAACCATCCTATTTTGCCGCTCAGCATCAGGATTGAAGCTCCTCGTAATATTCACAGGATTGTTGAAAGTTGAATTTGCTTCAGCATGAGCTGCCGATGGATTTAATTTTGATTTTTCTTGAGCCCTCTCCTGAGCAGGGACAGCTGCAAACTTGGATGCTAGCTTCTCGCGCGTCCTCATGAGAAAAATTTTCTCCCTTTTCATCTTCTTGTTCAAAGATTCCACAGAAGATTGTATCACCCCAAGATCATTCATTGCTTTACCAAGATCCACCTTAGCTTGTTTTATATCCATTAATATCAAATCGGCCGATGACATAGGGCAGGGACCTGAACTTTGCAATGCCTGTCCTTGGCTGTTTATAGTATTTTCACTGTTTTCCTTATTCATCTCCTTTGCAATAGGATTTCCAGCCTGTTCACATGTATGAACATCAGGAGGTGCAAAGCATTTCATTGCTTCTTTTTTAAGCTGCTGCTTTAGATCCTCAACAATCTTTTTGGTAGCTCCCAGTTCTTCGAGCACATCAAGTGTTTCGAGTTCTTTCACTATCAAATCCTTCTCCAACTCCGCGGCTTGTTCCTCCACTTTCTTTATGTCAAAATCTTCAATGCGGTTCTGATAATGACAATCTTTTTCCGCGTCAGAAAGTGAGCTAACAAGGAACGTGTGTAGAGCTATTGCAAGAACAAATGGATAATGAATGGGTAACATGAACAGGTTGAAATCACCAGGATATAGTGCGACAAATAAATTCTTTTGCTTTATTGATTTATATAAAATTTATAATAAGCAAATCAACATTATATATAAGTCATGAATACAAGTCACGAACATGCTGAAGACATTCCTAGATGGGTTAAAATTGTACATCCACATTCTACCTGTAATAATCCAGAAGAATATATATATTTTTTTAAGAATAGATTATCGTCTATTCTACGGCCATGCATAGATGATCCAGAAATTATATATATTCTGAAAATGCAACTAACCAGTGTTCAAGTTGAACTTCCACACAAAATTTCTCCACTATTGTTTATTTCACAAACTGATCTTATCTTGTTGTAAATACTGGTAAAATTTTGCGTGATCAATAGCAGCAAGTAAATCTTGGTTTAGCAATGATTGCGCCAGAGAAAAAATAAATAAATCTAAAGATAAGAAGGAGGAAAATCTATAGCTTATCAAAAAAAGAAAACAAGGAAGAATATAGCACGTTGATGATAAACTTACAAAAGCCTCCCCGAGCTTGTAAAGGGGCAACCAAGGACCGCTTCCTCCAAAACGGGTCACGGCCTCCTTGACCGACTCGAACGGTGGTGACGTATCGATTACAGCCCTGCAATTCACCATTCTTATCCCCGGACTTGGGTTATCACCCCCTCGAGTCCCTGTTTCGGGCCTCGCCTCCCTGATACCAGGCGTTCCCGGAATCCCTTCGGTGGCTGCTTTGTGGGTTTCCGCCATTGCAAGGAGTGCGAACGGAAGCGCAAAATTCAGAGAAGAATCCGCGGCTAAAGGTAGTTAAAGCTCATCGACCTCGGACTTCGGAGAAAGACCCATTCTGGAATTTATGCAATACCGAGGAGGTGTGATGATGATGTCTCGGGGCCGAGTCACGACTCAGTCCGAAAATGAAGTGACTCGGGAACGAGTGAGGCGCGCGGGTCCACACACACACGCAACCACCATAGCCCACTCGGGGAGAAAGGTGAAAGCAGAGCGGAAAAGCAAAAAAGGGAGACGACAGAGGGCGCTTTTGCAGTGCTGTGCCCGAAGATGATAGTGTGCAGCCGAGGAATTTGAGTTTGAATGAACTCTTCAATGTGATTGGTTAATGGAAACAGAAGTCAAAGAAAGTGATTGGGAGTCATGAAGTCCAACCAGTGAGAGGATGCCATGGGAGCGAGCACAGGGGAGAGTGCGGTCGTGAAGTTCATGACCCTCCCTTGATTAGGAGCGCGATTTGCGGTTAGGGAAAGCGTTGGAAATGTCGTGGTCATGAATCATGATTGACTTTTTGGCGGGGAGTCTCAAACGCACATATAACGACGACGTATTATGTGCCTTTCTTTGTTTCTTTTTCCTTTTATTTTTGGCCTTTGAAAGGTGTTTGGTCCCAAAAAAAGAGAGAGGTAACCGCTTTTATCCCCACCTCCTCCTTTCTTTCTTTCTTTCTTTCTTTCTTAAGGAAAGTGGCAAACTTAAGCTTGAAGCAGTTTAAACAATGTTAGCCATGTTAGCCGCTAGCATATCCAAACAAAACAAAGGTCTGCAAAACACAAGCATCCTCTCCTTCAATATGAGCATTTTTGATAATTAAATTCACACATCTCAAAATATCTCTAAACATATGTTGAATCGTGATCTTTCAATCTTTATAGAAAAGAATTCTAATCTTTCTATTCACTTCCTCCATTCTTTGATTTTGGCTTGGCCCTTGTTTTTTTCTTTTTTTGGAGAAACGACTCAAACGAGGACAATACATCTAAAGACAAATACAAAAATTACATCACGGTTATTGAGATCATAAATAATATTTTAGATATTAAATAAAATTGATGTTAGCACTTGTATCAAGATATTTGAGTTTAAATTATATGTTTTAAATATTATATTTAAAATTATTTGTATAAAAAGTGTGGAAAGTTTAAATGATACAATCGAGACAAGTTGATATTCAAAATAATCTTACATCTATTGTTCAATTAGTGAAAGATTATAACAATATAACAAGGATAAGATGATAGACGACGAAACTAATAAAGGCACTGGTCATAGAAAGAAATAAACGGTTGAAATGACTGAAATTTTAAATAAATACAGTCAAAAATGAATTTAAAACAACAAAAATTATAACAAAATATGAATTTAGATTTGAAATTGAATCAAATCAAAATCTACAAACTTTGATATAAATTTGATTCAAATCCAAATCTTCCTACATCTAAATGCAATGAAATAGTAAATTCAAAATTAAACAAGATGATTTTATTATTGAAAAAAGAATTGAGGAGCGAGACGTTGATGATTGTATGATAACAGTGTCATGATTTGTGATGATTCTAGAGAAGGGAGAAGAAAAGATGCAGGCAATGTGGCGGTTGGGACGTCAGGCTGGGAAGGGAATGATATATGGCATCTTACGTGAAAAAAATGTATACTTCCTTTAATTTTATTTAGAAGATACATTTTAAAAAATTTATTTAATCTTATTTATAAATTATGATATAATTTTTTAAATAATATTTAAAAAATATTTTTAAAATTATCCTTCATGAAAGAAAAAATAACATAACATTATTTTTTGATTTATTATATAGATATATATTTAAAATTTTACACACTTTTATTTTTTACTTTTTTAAACTTAATATTAATAAAGTTCGTAAAAATATTTAACAAAGAGAATTAAAAGAGTATAATTTATACTTCATTCTAAATTTAGAGAGAGGTACGCTCGGTTGGTTACGCGGAGAGATGAGATGTGTTGAAAATCATATAAAGGGTCGTAAACATATACAAAACAAGCCCAAGCCCCGAGTGGGAGGGAAGTTACGTTATTGGTGAATAATGGGGAAGCTTGATCATAAGTTTGGTGACAGAAGCTTCAGATAAAGTGGAGTGGTGTGGCGCATGAATCGAATCATTTCTTTGATTGGCCACGGATTCGCGCAGTCCGTAAACTGACAGTCTCCATGAATGACAAATTAAAGAAGAAGCCCACGTTCCGTACATTAGCTCGGACTAGGTCCCATATAAAGCATGAGACCAGCATTTTTATTCATCAAGCATATTAGTTCCTAATTTGGCCCAAAAAAAAAAAATAGTATATTAGTTCCTAAAATCTCTGATAGACTTGTTCAAATAATATCAAATGTTATATTTCAAAAAGTGGATATGAATATATGCAGATGTAATTTAATTATCACCAAAGCATCCTAACGTGTTTTTTCTAATTAAAAAAAAATCACCTGAGCATGAACTGTAATAAATTATGATTCCAGCAATAATATCAAATCAACACCTTGAACGGGAGAAATCCGAATGGTTGACAAAATGATTAGTTAGGCTCAACTTGATTGCTGTTCAAAAGTGAACCACCAGATTGAAACTTTAAACACGAGGGGCGTGATTGGAGGATGAGACCCTCACCGTTAAAACAATCGCTGGGCTTTTTACGCTTGGTACGTTAAAGCTGCAACTTGGGCCCCAGCCCCATTTCTTCACAGACTAAATCGTACACAATTGTTGTTGTTCTGAATCATGGCATCATCGGGTCAAGACATGTTCTCAATCGAGGTTGTGGGCAATGGCGACTGCATTTTGGCATCCAATGGTTCAACAAGACCCGTAAAATCTGCGGCCCGCAGCTCTTTCTGTTTTGCTTGGTCCAGCCTTTATTTTTAGCTTACCCATCTTCTTTTATCCAACTCCCTTTTTTTCCCCCTTTACCGAGAAAAAAAGCTTTTTTTTTTTTTCAAATCTATACACAACCAATCTGGTCAAAATACAGCGCTCACGCACAAGCAATAAACAATACGATTTCGTCCAGACTTGATACAAAGCATGGGACATGGTTATTCGTTTCACCCTACACGTATAAAGTTACAAGAGTCAACCTTTGCTTGTGATTTTGCAATTATTTTTAAAATTTAGATATTGATATGCATATTATTTTTGTTAAGGAGAAGCTGATGAATCCGAGCTGGGCATGGCACTACCAACATCACATTTCCCGCCCCTACTCTTCTCGTGGTCACATATTTCTGAGGAGTGGGACGGAACTTACCACTAAGATCCCGAGGCTTTAATGCTAAGGGTGCACTGGCTTTAACTTTGAATTTGTAATAAATAATTAAATTTATCACAACTTTTTAACATGATCGGTCATAGATAAATCGATCGAATCATCTGGCTCGAAATCGGTATGTATATAATCTGGGATATCTCATCAGATAGAAGTACTGCCGTTATACATCTGAAGACGCAAAATAGGGATTACACAAAAGCAGAAAAACAGAGCAAAATTGAAAAAAAGAAAAATAACAAGATATATCTGAGGAGAGGAGTGGGAATATAAATAATTAGTTGACCTTCCTACAATTCTTCCTGATCTCACCGTTGGAGCCGGTGAGGGGACTGACGTCTCCCATCTTGATCATGGCGGCGGCAAAATCAGAAGCGAAGGAGCTGGGGTTGCTGCTGTAGCCCCGCACGGTGGAGTCGGTGGAGCCTCCATTGAAGAGCTGCTGGTCGGAGTGGAGGAGGCCCTTCTTCTGAAGCAGGTTCTTGAAGTAATTGTTGTCGAAAGCCGTGGGAGTCTGCAGATCCAGAGGAGCCAGATTGTTGTCTCCCGAGCCCGACGTGCTCGGGCAACTCGATTGCCTCGTCTTAGCGAAGGAGCTGTCTATGTTGCTCTCGTTATAGATTCGGGCCCTGAAACTTGTGCACCTCGCCTGTCCGATTGTGTGAGCCCCTGTATGCATTCAAATAAGTGATGATAATCGTGTTACGTTTCATTAATTAGAACCATATATCCAAAAGATAGATGGATAGAAATATACCGGACAAGGCGACCAAGTCTTTGGAGGAAAGGCCGAGAGCGGAGAATCTAGAGATGAGCTGGGAGAGGCTGGAAGTGGGGGCAGGAATGCCGGTATTTGCAGCAGAAAGGCTTGCAGTTTTCGCGTCTCTTCTTCCCAGTTTTACGTTCCATGTTGGGCCTCCAAGCTTCAAATATATTGATGACGTGGTTAAATAATTAGTTGTGTTTGTACTTATACTTACGAATGCATGAAGTTGAGTTCATTGGGTAATTACGATGGTGACGGAATCTCTGGCCGCGATGGCGAGGATGTCAGCGCAGGAGACGACGCCGGGGCACACTTGCTCCACCGCCGACTTGACATTGTCGATGACGTCAAATCCTCGAGCCGAGTTCCTGTTGGGGTTCGCGTTCTTCTCGCCGGTGAAGCTTGACGTGTCGTCCAGAAGAATCGAACCGTCACATCCCTGCCATTCAACCCAAAGCGCAAATCGGCACAGATCAAATAGAGACAAAATAATTAGTACAGTCGTCGGGTGGAAATATATCAAGACAGGGTATATATCACAAATTCTTGGCTCTAGCTAACTGGGTCACCCAACTCAAATTTCCAAATTACAGAATATTTAAGCATGTGTGTGTATCTAATCATGCATCTTATCTTCCGAATCCATCGTGATCAAGATCTTGTTATAATTGTATAAAAATTACTCCACGTGTCATAAAAAATTGTCATTATATATCCTCTACAAAAGGTTTTTTTTTTTTTTTTGCTGTAGTTAACGAAATAGTTAGAGTGATGCGCGCGCGCGCGCACACATATATATATATATATATATGTATGTATATATTTATTTCTGGAAATAATATTTTCGTAACGAAAAAAAAAAATGCATGCAAGAGCCATGCATGATTTGTAATGACATTGGGTGCTGGGGAAACATTGAAGAAAGGAAGGGAAGAGTACATTGACGAAGCAGTCGTGGAAGAACAAACGAAGGAGAGAAGCACCCATGCGGGCTTCCTTCGAAATGGCGGACTGCACGGAGGACTTGACAGTGGAAAGTAGTCTAGGGCAAGAACTAGAATAGAAGTTTGTAGAAAGCTGTGCATCTGCACTCCCCAGCAGGAGAAGCACCAGCAGACTCACACCTATACTCGTGGACGATGACGAAGCCATTCTTTCTAAATCCCTCTAATCTTACTGTACGTTGATATATATGCTTGAGTGCTTGATGTATGGGAGTGGGGTAGCAGATTTATATGGAAGCCCAATGCTCGTCACCGCCATATCAAATATGTCGAGGTAGCTTCGCGTCGGCAGGTCACCTAACCCGTAGACCATAACCTCGTCGCGTGATTTTTTTTTTAATAAAAAGAAAATGGTGATCATTTTTTCTACGTTTTAATAATGGCGATGCCTTCCGATATCTATCAGGGATCAGAAAAATGGGACCCTTTACCGGGTCGCTTTCTTTTCATTTGATTAATCTGACATGGCCAGAGCGAAGGCGCGTCCTTGTTCCCGGGATCGAAGCCAAAAGCCCCGTGTCCGCCACGATTTGTCAATGTGCACGCAAGTTGGGCGCCTGTGGGGCCCCCACATATGCAAATTAAACGCCTTATGAATCTGTTGCCTGAATTTGACTGCCTTTCGTTGGGGAAGATTCCACGAGTGAAAGGGCCTCGCATGGTTCACACTGACTTTCATCTCCTTGCAGAAAAGTAGCTTTACTTGTTTGGTAAACGGAGCTACGCGTGTTTTACTTTGTCGTCTGAATGCCCACAGTCCAAGAGAACAAAGCCCAGATTCTGCACGTATTTTTCCACACGCCAGTTCATAGGTTCTCCTTTTACTGTATACTCTTGCTCTCCATCCACCTACATGTTGCCTGGATCTAATTAGGAAATCATGTTGATTGCGCCCAACACAAGTAATCAAGAAACTTCTCGTCTTTTGTTTCATGGTTTGCAATTTCTTCAGCTGTTATATGTTGCTCTGCACCAGTAATTCTCAAATGACTAATGATCATTATTATTACGCGCGTATGATTGTTAGCCTATCGAGAACCACCGTCATCACTGCAAGCATTTTTTGTCTTGCTCGAACCTTGACTGCTTCATCCTCCTATCATTTTTCCTTTATAATCACTTGATGATAAATATTAACGAATCCCACTTTCCTTGTTTACTTTATGCGTGTGTTCCGTTTGGGACGACACTTCAGGGACATTTCACATTCCCTCGGTGTTTGTCGTTCGTTATGAAATTTACGTTTTTTAATAACGATTCCATCTGACTTCCTTCGCGCCCCTACTACCATCTTTATTTTTATTCTTGAGCTGGTAAAGTCAACTTCAGCAAGCATTATTACATATGCGGGGAATTATTCTAGGCGGAATTTATATATCTTATGCTAATTTAAACTTTTAATCTTTTAACTTTAAATAAAATTTTAATTTAATATTTTAATGTTATAAATTATTTTTTTAATCTCCTAACTTTAATAACTGTTAGTTTCATATGGTCGGTGAGATGATTAAATGATTGAAAATATATTTTATAAAATTAAAAAAAAATGAAATCTTGTATAAAGTTAAAGGGTTGAGTATATATTTTAGACTGTATTAATTTTAATATTCAATAAAATTAATAAACTCCATTACTTCTCAGTTGAATATTCAACATATATATTATGGGCTGGGGTTTTAAAATGATAATTATGTACATATTCCTTCTTGATAAGACAGCTTAATCAACAATAAGCAGTGATATTAATTTGGGCCAACAATATTTCAATCCGAAATATAAGATAATCATGCAATTTAAATAACATTTTATCCGAGTTAATTAAGGCAGGTTTCAAGATTCAAAAATTGTTTTCGTAGAGTTTAAATTACACAACAATAAAATCTACTCAATCGGAAGCTAGATTCAAATGCATGTTTTAGTGAATTGTGAGTCATGCTTTTACTAATTGAAATTTAAGAAATAATTGTCTATTAAGAATGAAAAGAGTTGCAATTAAATCTGATCTTTTTTACCCCTAAAATAAGACAATTATATTGATCACCAAAAAATCACATTACACACTCTAATGGCCAAAGCCAAAATATCTAATCTCGACTGCCTCGCTTTTTGTCGCCACTGTCAGCCACTCTACCTCCACAAGAGGTTGAAGTATAGCCACAACCTTTTTTTTTTTTTTTTTTGTATAATAAAACACACACGCACAGAGTCATGGTAAAACCCATGCCAAAAAAAAAAAATACCACTAGCTTGAATCATATCAATATCTAAAAGGCTGATACAACAAATTGCTGGGATATTAAAAAAATAAATTTATATGTTATTAATTAAGACTTGATGAGCCAGCTAATCAAAGCAATCATTTGCCTATCAAAAAACATCCTCAAGGTGACCATTTAATTTTTCACAATAAGTTTTTAAATGTTGTTGATAATTTTAATTAGCGGGTGATTAATAAAAAAAATCATTACGGGTGATCATGAACACTTCGTGGACAGATTTTGTCAAACTTTTCATTCCATCAAATATTAAAACTTTTAAGAATACTCATGAGTTGAATGACTGTGCTAGCTAGGATGATATCCAAAATATTTAAAAAAGCCTGTAATTCAATTTCGTTTATCATCCTCATGAATCATCCAACAATTTAATACTTTATATTATAATTCTAATTATTATTATTATCATTATTTATTAAAAAAAAGTGTTTGGAAATGAGCATGGGTTGATGGAAATGACAATGGATGCTTCCATTTCCATGGACTCCGACTGCTTTGCTCGAACAGGTGTGATGATTAAAGTGGTCCCACGCAGTCGTAATGGCTACTCTAGATTTTGTCTTGTGGATTAATAATTGCTGGAAAAGCCGAGCCTGAAGCCCCGTTGGGTTTTCTCAGGATTCAGCATTTAATTAATTAATTTCACGAGAGCAAAAATGCAAAATGGCCTTCCCCAGTAATGTGACGACCGTGTTGCAGAGTTTCAAAGCAGAATTAATGCTGTTACTTGAATATATCGCCTTCGTCCAAATCACACTGTCAAAAGTTTGACAATCTCGCTTTTGTAAGCAGCAAATTTCGAGTCTTCGTCTCAAACTTGTATTGCTTCTTTCTCGATCAGTATCTCATCCCTTTAGAATTGTACTCTCCATTGTATCAAAAAAAAAAAAAAAACAAACAAATAAATTGCATTCTCCACAGTATACTCTCTCCTTCTTCAGTTTTGCCCATGTTACAATGTCCCTGTTTTCTGTTATTAATTCTAAAAAAATAATAATAAAATTCTTTTAAATTATGTAAAATGCCATTTTAATTTTTTAAAATATCATAATTCTCTTGAAGTCCCTAAAAAATTTTTGTCATTAAAAAACTAATATAAATGATTAAATTATCCTTAATTTAAACTTATAAATTACTGTTAAATAATTTCAATTTTAAGAATAAAAGTTGTAAATTTTAGAATGAAATTTGTAAATGATAATTAATGTTTACAATACTTGAAGAATATCAGGATTTCAAATCAAATTTATAAATTGTTGTTGAATTCTTGCAAGTTTAAACGAAGAAGTTGTAAATCTTAGAATAAAACTTATAAATACCAATTGATGGTTGAATTAAAAATAATTTAATTATTTATATTAATTCTTTAATGACAAAAAAATCTCTAGAGACTTTAAAAAATTATGACATTTTAAAATACCAAAATGTTATTTATTTAATTCAAAAGAATTTTATTATTATTTTTCCTTAATTTTATTTAAAAACATAATTAATTTTCAATTTTATCACCATTTACTAATAAAAAATTTTAAATTTTCATTACATTTTCACTCATAATTAGTGAGCTTGAATAAAAATAATATTAAAAAAATATAATTAATGACGCATAAGATGTCCTACATTTATAAGGACCGCCAATTTATTCTAAAAAATGCCTTGCAAAGTGTGTGTGTGTGTGTGTGTGTGTGTGTGTGTGTGTGTGTGTGTGTGTGTGGAGCTATCAAGATTAGCTGCAACCTAGTTGAAAAACTATCGATTGCAATTAACAATGATACAACAGATGAAAATTTTCTTGAACCTTCTTAAGAGCTGTGGAGGTAAAAGTAAGGTTCTACCGCAAATATGACATCGATATCTAGCTATTGTTAAAATTTTAAATTAACATTTTAATAATCACCTCTTAGTCCCTGTCGATGATCATTCACTTACATATATAGTGTATAATTTATCACGAATTATTTTTAATAGATAACTTAGCGCATTTAAAAACTAAGAAAGCACCAATTAATTCATTTAATCATTTTCATTTTAAATTTTATGACACAGCGATGGACAGATTTTATTAAAGGGCGTTTATATTGAATTTAATACGTACACACTTAATCGAAGCACGGGGAAATAGTTGGTAAAAAAAATAAATTATTTATAAAAAATGTCAAATGAGTCATTCTTTTTTTTCAACATGTTCTCCCTCCATTCAAAAATATAAAATAGTTTTTAAAAAGTTAAATGTTTAAAAATATAAGACATTTTTAACCTTTTGAGGTGTAATTATTGCTTTTTTTAAGTGCCCCTATTGATAGTGACTTCATATTTATTATAGAGTATTTAATAGGGGTAAATATGAAAAGATATGACTAATTTAAAAGCAGGTAACTATTTTATTAGATGGTAAGATTCAGTTAAAAATATTTTATATTTTTAACAAAAAGAGTATATGTTAATCATTAGCGCCGGTGATTCGGGCTAGCCCGAATTGACTCGAAAAATTTTAGGGCCGAGCTTAGAAAAAAAATATTTTTTATATTCGGGCCTATTTAGGCCAAGCTCGATCGGGTTCGGGCTTGGCCCGAATACTCGAATAAAAAAATTATATTTTTAAAAAATATAATAAATATAATAAATATTAATTAATTCTTTAAATTTTAGATCATTTTATACTAAAATATCATATATTTGAGTCCTAGATATCGTTTAAGTATTAAAAAAATATATTTTATATTTTTTATAAAATAAAATAATTAATTTTAAAGTAAAAAATAATTAAAAATAATTTTAAAAATTATTTCGGGTATTTAGGCCGCCCGAAAAAATTCGGCCCGAATAGGCCCGACTCGCCCGAATTCCTGACTTTATTAATCATGAGTTCATTTGGGGAAAAAGAACCTGAATCAAGATGTCGTTTTAAAGTTGATTCTGTTATGTTCTCATATCATATGCAAGTGATTAATATTTTTAAGCACAAACCTGTTGGATCACAATTTTTTTTACTGCAATTACAGAACATTTTTATAATCGGAATAAAAGTTTTCTTACTATGATTTAAATTATATTTGAGCACTAATCTCTTTCAAAAATTAATTATTTTAATTACTTTTAATAATTTATTGAAATCTTAATATTTTGAATTAATTTTGAGGATTCTGATTTAAATATTATAGCCACAGCTGATCTGTAATTTAAAAGTCAGCTTAGTAGTAAAGTCAATGGGATCAACGACGGAGATCATTACATGTTTGTGAGAGCGGACATTGTCATTGGCGCATTATGATTACCCTGGGCCCACGCGTTGCCAATTATAGCACGTCTACAATCAATATTACATTAAGAAAAAATTGATCAAAAATTATTACATTATAAAAATAAATGTCCTTTATTATAATTTATTCATTTAAATTTAATTTTAAAAAAATTATTAAATATCTTTAATTTTATTAAAATTAATTTTTTAAAATTTATCTGAACACTATCATGTTCTGGTAATTAATTCTTTTTATAATTAATTTTTTTTAATTGAAATCCAAATGGGCCCTCTCCTCTTGCGTTGCGGCGATTCCATCAGATCTTTCTTTGTAGAATAGAGCAAGTTTGAATGGGGCAACCGTATTAACTATACAGTGATCCCGTCAGGCCGTAATTATATTCCTATTTGATAAATGCAGAATCAATGCAATGAACTGACTGAATTTGTTGAAAAGACAAAGAATGAGGCCATAACTGTTACATGCTTTAAAAGAAGCCTTCTGATTGAATTTAGAAGGGCCCATGCATAAGGAAAATAGAAGCTCCTGTTTTGGAGGCAATCCAGGTCGTCCTCTTTGATATAGTCATTGAGTTCTAAGCTCGACATTCCAGGGAGCGTAATTTGCCAATTTATGGGGCGCAAATCTCTTTTGCAAATCATACCAGGAAGAGCCAGCGGGTGATCGGTTCTCAGATTGGAACTACAAGAATTAGGGTCCGTTTGATTTTCTCCATTTCACATTTAAAAAATAAAATTTTACTTTTAAAAAATTAAAAATTATTTAAATAGAATATTTTACAAAAAAATACATCCTAAAAATATATTTAAATAGTAGTTGAAAGTGAATTTTTGAAATGTAACTATTTAAAACTTTTAAAAAGTGAATCTGAGAAGTATAATGTTTTTTGACCATATTACTCTGAATTTGATCTCTTAGTCTTTTATTTAAAAAATAGTTAATTCATTAAAAATATAATTATTATTATTAAAATAATAATAATTAGGTATCAATTTTTTAGTATTATAAATTGAGTAATTAATTATGTTCATTTTTTTCATTAATGTATAATAGAAATTATAAATCTTTATTACATCTTTTAAAATTACAAATTAAAAAATACAAATAACTGGATATCAAATTTTTAGCATTATATATCAAAATTTATGTTATTTAAAATTTTTATTACATTTTTTAAATATTTTAAATATATTATATTTGTATAATAAAAATTATAAATCATTATAAATCAATATCTTTTTTATAATTGTACATTCAAAAGTACATTTTACTATCACAAACCAAACAACTTTTAATATAACAAACTGACTTTTAAAAAAATATATCAAAATATAAATTTCATTACAACAACTGACTTTTATTAAATTGACTTTCACTAAATAAATTTTCATCAAATGAACTTTTGACAAACTGAAAATTAAATGCACAGTTAGTCATTTCAAATTTTCTCTCTGGCTTCTTTACTCTCTGTCGTGCCCAGACCTTGACTTTCTCAAAGAGGGGAATCTATAAATTTTAAAAAATAGGAGTCACCACCAAACTTTTTTAAATATTTTTGAAAAAGTATATAATAAAAAAGGATAGTTTGTGAAAAAGATTTAGGAGTTTATTGTATGTGAAGAAGGTGTTATGTACCCCACGACACCTGTTTATAAGAATGATTATCTTAAGTTGATTGTATAAAATCAATTGACCTTTTAATAATATCTTAATTACCTTTATTACACATGCAAAATAAAGATTTAAAAAAAAATTATTTATTTACATGAGAGGACTTGAATTAGGATCAAAGCCTAGTTCTACATACTCTATAATAGAGATCAAAGTCTGTATAGTTCAAGATATTATTATTTATATTTTCTTTTAATTAATTTATTTTATGAAGAGAATAATATTCTGGGTTGTATTTTTTAATTATTTTTAAATAAAAATTTATTCCTTGAAAATACCTTTAGGTAAGAGAAAAATAACCACTGTTGGAATCTGTGGTGATTTAACATCAATTACAGTCCACTGGTTGACAATTTAAATGCACGCGGTAATTTAATATTACTCATGGTAAATCCTAAAGAAATTTTAAAAGTGAACAGTTTAATTATTTTAATACAAAATTTGATACCTGCAATGATTTAATGTCATTTACAAAATTCATTTGACATTTCTAAGAGTCCACGGTGATATAGTATCACTCATGGTGTATCTTAAAAAAATGTCAATATTTTTATTTTTATTATTTTTTTTTACGATGGCTTAGTGTCATTTATAGTATTTCATTTATGTTTTTAAGAATCACGGTGGCTTAGTATAACTCATGGTGTAGTCTAAAATATATCAATAAACTTTATTATTTCCCAAAGTAATGCACAAAGAGATTTTTCATATATACTTGACTGCAGTGATTTAATATTATTCACAATATACCCTTCAATAACGTGTCAAATATTCACAGTGATTTAATATCATTTATAAAAAATTCAAAAGCTAAAGAGATTCATATTTTTGTTTTAATAATTTATTTATGTATTCACAAGATGATTGAAAATGAGTCTTGAAAGAACTCAACATATTTTAGAATATTCACCGAAAGAAAATAAATAATAAAAAAGAAGAAAGGAAACAAATTAAACTACAACTGAGGGACAAGCAAATTACACGAGAGCGCGTTAGTTCAACTGTCGCAGGTATATATATGTATAAGAATACTATGCATACATACCAGCCAAAGCCAAGTTCGATTTCCACTTTTCTTCTTTCATTGCAAAGTAAATAATTTATGAAGGCCCAGGACTGAGAAACTGTACTATCAAAACTCATATTTATTCCATAAATGAAAAAAAAAATATAGAAAGAAAGGCATACTATGCTCATGAATCTCTGAGATTCATTGAGTTCAAGCATACATCAATATCAGTCATCTTGGAACGTGTGTTGGTTTGACTGGATCGCAATCATATGGCAATGGATTGGAGCAAAATGAAGTTGAGGACACAATGCTCGGACAACAATCATAAGACTCCATAAGATTCAATATCCAATGAAAACATATAATCCATGCATGCTGTGAAAAGCAAATATAAGTGAATGATAGAAGAAAGCTCTTGCAATGATGTATATCCCAATAGTTTTTCGTCTGCCTCTCTTCTTTCAGTATCTCTTTAATCTTTCAGCCTCCAATTTTCTGTCTCAATTTTTCCTCCCTTCTCTCCTTCTTTGCTATCCTTTTTTATAAATATCAACTAGGGTTTTTTTTTTCCTTAATGATAGAATCATCTATATCAAGGCAAATTCTATTTTGACTTTTTCTCCATTAGTTCAGATTTCCAAATTCACATTAGAGGCATTTAATTTGATAGAAACAAAAATGAGGGGATTTGAGAGTCAATAAAAATGAAAAAAATTCTTTTAAAGTCATTAAGATATTATTTTATTATTTTCAAATTCTTTAAAAATCTTACTTTTCCTTATTTATTTAATTTACTCAAATTTATTGAGCTTTTTATTTATTTTTAATTTAAATTTGGAATTCCGGATAAAATACGTTGTTCACACTCTCTTTTTTGTTTTCAAAATCCTTAATTTATTATATACATAAAACTTAGTAAATATATAAATCAATGAAAAAATTACGACTAATAATGCGAGAAACATATACATATACATATAATAGTATGTGATTTATGAATCCCTTATTTCTAATTCGGAATACCCGTCAGAGCTATAGTTTCTTAGGAAACACAACAACAACAAACAACAACAACAACAACAAGCCTTTATCCCACTAGGTGGGGTCGGCTACATGGATGCAAGACGCCATTGTGCTCTATCATTTATTAAGCTTTTAGAAATATTATTAATTAAGAGATCACGTTCAACAACTTCCAAGAGTGTTCTCTTAGGCCTTCTTTCTTAGGAAACACAAAGCTAACATTTTTAGATGGATATCCTACTTAACTAACAAGTGATTATATATCATAGTAACACGTTGGCACTTGAAATTTAATTAGCAAGACAAGGAGAACAATAATTGGGAAAAAAGTTGTACACATATATAGTTCTCAATGATACTATAGATGGCGCATTAACTTGGCCTGCATTCATGTCATGAGTTTTTATACTTGTAATCCTAGAGATGCGTCCAGTGTTTGGTTACCCTCCATTTCAAGACAAAGACCGTCTTTCGCGCTTGCAGTCTCTCTCTTGTAAATGAATCTATTTGATGCCCAGAGAAATGCCCCTAAGTTCACACTCGAGGTCACCAACAAGAACCCATAATAGTAATCCAAGTGACTATCATTTAAATTATCCCCGATCCAGCTCCTTCTCTCGCCCATTCCCGTGATCTTGTCAACCATTGTTACCAGGAAGCTGTTCAAGAAGTTCCCCACACCAATCCCACTTGTGAAGAACGTCGTCCCCAGACTCTGCATGTCGTCTGGGGATTGGTCATAGAAGAACTCAAGCAATCCAATGGCGTTGAACACATCTGCTATCCCAATCAGAACATACTGAGGCAATAGCCAAAATATGCTCATGGGGACTATTTCGTTTGCACCTACTCCGTGATTTGCTCTTATCACACGCATTCTTTTAACTTCAACTGCATAAGCAATTGCAATGGCCACGATTTGGATTGAGAATCCAATTCCAAGCCTCTGGAGTAGGGTGATTCCTCTGGGGTTGCCAGTTTTCTGGCGCATGAATGGTACGAAAAAACGGTCATACATTGGCACAGAGAGGAGCATGGAGAGGGTCACGAAACTACCGAGAGAGGCCGCTGGGATCCGAAAGTGACGGCCAAGGTTTCTGTCCAAGGTTGTGCCTTGTTTTACAAACAGAGTGTTGATCTGTGCCCAAATAGTACTAGGAACAAGTGTTACTAGCCATATCAGCAGCATGCCTAATACGAGCTTGGCTCCCTCCACTTGGGTTACCGTCATTGGAGTTGCAGAGGAACCTGTGTTGCTTTCCTTTATTGCAGCCTTGTCCAAGAACCTGGAGTACAAGTTGCAATCACTTAGCCCATTGTTTTTCTCAAGGAACTACATATCTAGCAGAATGATGCCAAAAAATATCAGTAGTTCTTAGGAATTAAACAGTTTATAATGCCATCTATCATCCAGAATACCAACCGATAACAGTGCGTTTGATTACATGCAATATCTTAGATTCGTGATGATTTGTGGTGTTTCATTTATTTGAAACAGAGGTAGGTGGGAGAAGGACACAATTTTGACATTTCCCGTGCAAGAAAAAAGTCTTTTATGAAGCAAATATCTCAATTTTGGCGCTGTAGCAAATATCTCCCTTGGAGATCTACCTCATGAAGGCCAAGTGATTGAAGATGGAATTTGGAATCTTTTATGAAGCGGATCATTTTCTAGATTTCATATAACGAGTTGATCTGTCAGATGTATAGTATAATGATGGAGATATTAAAAAGCCCTTCCGAGTGATCCATCTCGAGAGGGGGGAACTTGGAATATTTAATATTGACACAGACACACGGTGGACCAAGCAAACTTTATTTTTATTCTGGCCCCAGCCCCCGGGGGTAGCATAAACAGGCAAGCAGAAATAATACGAAAATGGTCCCAAACCAGTTCCCTACCACTTACATCATGACATATTTTGCTCACTTCTCGAGAATCCATAGTGCAAACAGATTAAGCCCCAAGGAATTGAAGATGATGATTGTACTCACCTAAAAACTGGGGTGTGTAAGATTTGCCGTTTTCCACTGGTAATGTAGTGTTGGAGCTCCTGCTCATGAAGCTCGGAGGGATCACTAGGAAGCCGAAGTTTTCTGTTCCTGAAGGCAGCAACAGGGACACGGAAGAAGTCCTTGGCAGGACTTTTGGTGGTCCTGACTTTGTGGCGATATATTGGAGTTCCTATGTAGAAAATAACAAGGGACAGGATGAGACCAACTGTAGGAATAGCATAGCCTAATCCCCATCCCAAGTTCTCCTGAACGTAGACCAGGCCTAAAGTGGCTATTAAAGCGCCCAAGAATGAGGTAAACATCCACCAGTTGAAGAAGGATGCTTTAATCTCTTTCTCATTGGGATTGAAATCATCAAACTGGTCTGCGCCAAAGGTTGAAATGTTAGGCTTTGTTCCACCTGCTCCAATTGCTATAGTGTACAGAGCCGTGTAAAAGAATGCAATTTGTGAGGCAGAAGCCTTGTTGCAGATGCCATTGCTGCATGTTGGCCTCAAGCTCTTGAGTGATACAGCTATCGTAAGCAGAACCATACCCTGTACGTGTAGAGGCGCTAGTGCATGTGAGGTGCATGCTTCGCTGATTGAACAGACATATATGATAGAATAATTATGAAAATAAAATCAAATAATAAGGTAAAAGGGACATTTTGTCTTACTCAAATTTCAACCCATAAAACCGAGTTCAGAAGTGATGGCCTCTTGTAAATGTTTTATGATATGTAATGGCATGGAGAGTCAATGTTGCTATCAGTGAAACGGTAATAATTAACCCTTATCATACATCTTTGTACCATTTTTTGTGGAGCGACGCGCAGTTCTTGGCAATTTATATAGATTGGTTACAATCAATCCAACGGTTTGGATAGGCAATAACTTCATGGTGGGCCCAAGCCAACCATCAATAATTATCTTGAACCAAGGCTGTTGGCAGATCATGTACATAATATATATATTTTGGTCATGACAGATCATAAATTTACATAGTCCAGTAATACAGTTTTCCACGTTTAGGCAAAAAGCGAAACTGGTTGGGCCTCTGGGTGGGATTAGGTAACATAGAATATTGTCCAAACAGGTGGCAACATCTGTTTGGAAGATAAAATTGAAAAAGCGGACGGCCTCGGGGATGAGAGGAGGAAATTTTGGATTCGAGAATAGATATCAGTGGCTAAAATTTAGGGATTCATGAGCTTACCAATACATAGATGAGAGACGACACGGTGAAAGTCCAAAAGCGACCCAAGTAAGAATCAGCAATGTAAGCACCGAGAATTGGTGTTATCCACACGGATCCTGACCAGTTATTCACGTTTCTAACAGATGAAACAGTGTCTTCACGAAGTTGGGTAGTAAGGAAGTTCACCAGGTTAGAAGCAACACCATAGAAGGCCATCCTTTCAAATGCTTCGTAGCCTGCAGTAACATCATGCCATGAGCAAGGCACAACAAAACATTAATTCATATTCATTAATCATGCTAAATCCCACAGATCATATATCACCGTTAACACATTTTCACAAGCACTATGCAGACTTCAAAGTGGACTATTTTCGTCCACAAGTTCTCGTGCATTCAGACTCTAGCGAAAAATAACAGGAGATGTGTGTCCTATTAAACACGCATGGGAATGGATGAAACACATGTTTCTTGCTTACGCATCTCCCAGCTGTCAGAGACTAAGTGGTGAAACATGACTTTTCCAGATTCAACAATAAAATAGGGAAGTTTTCGAAAGCAGATACGAAGAATGATTTTAACAGGGACTATATTTGTGAGAAAAGAAGTCATATGTACTCACCAACAAGGAAAGCGCAAGCCTTCCATTTTCCAGTTTTAGATGGAATCGCAGGCCTGCCACGAAAGTCGACACTACCGTCCTGGGTATAATCTACTTTGGCTTCCATGAGAGATGTTTTAGTATGAGTGAAAAGAAGAAAGCAATTCACGAGAGAGGAAGCACTTGATGAGGAATGCGGTGCTGGTGGGCGCGCAAACAAATATTTATAGCGAGCCGAGCGGAAGGCCTCACTGCATGTGGCTGGGCTTGTTTTCGTGGAAAACACATGAATCTGTCGTGTTGTATATATTCACGGGGCTAGCAAGATTTTGGCTGTGTTTAGATTAAAATAATCAACTGAGATTAGAATAAACGATAGTTTGAAAATTAAAATTAGAATAAAAATATGTGACTATATGGTTGTTTACGTTTAGATAATTTTTTTGAAAAAATCAATTAGAAACTGAAATTTGTTTACACCCTTATCCTTGGGTGTTACTGCTGGATGCCCTTGTTTATTTGCATGCTTAAATTTCTCTTATGAACATGGTATACGTTTGGATCCGAATATTTAGATTTGCGCTAAATATATTATTTGGATTTATAAAAATTTATGTATGGAACCTGAATCCAAATTTTACTATAATTTTTTTATAATTTAAAATCTCCTATACAATATAATTATTTAAAATGTCAAAATACTAACTCTGTAATCACTTTCTTCCAATTTTTATTTATTATCTCACTTGTTCATTGTCTTTGAATTTAAAATTTTTTATATTACACCTATAAAGATTTTAAACATAAAATTTAAATTCAAATTCAAATCAATTAATTTCAATGTTATCTCACGGTTTAATTTGTTAATAAAAAATGAGTATATATTTTTTTCAAAAAAAAAAAAACTCTTCCGGTTGGAAAAAGTATGTACATTTATTGAGTGAAAACAGGACACTAGTTCAGTTTTTTTCCCCCAAAAATAAAAAATGCTGATATGCACCAACCTTTAACCTTTGAAATTACTAATAGGGAATTGCTCATATATCGAGTTGAGCGAACAAATGCTTGCCTGAACTATTTCTTCTGGCAAAGGAACAGACACTGACGAGGTCTGCCTGCGAGATTTTTTCTCTGTTGAATGCTGGGCTTTTGTTTTTAAGTAGAGCCAAGAAATGGGCAGAATTTGTACATATAGACTCAACTCCATAAGCTGACTTTTCTAAATTGACTGATTTCTTGAGCATGGTTCATGTTTAACAGGCTGAAAATCGAGTCCACAAGCCCTTTTTTTTTTCACTTTAAAATTTTTGAAATTTTAAAAATTTAACTTTTACATTATAATATTACATATTCTTTTTTTAAATACAAATTATAATTTTCAAACATTAAAAATAAGTAATATAAATTTTAATTTTGAAGTATAAATATCTTAAAATTTAAATAATTCAATTTGAAATTTATAAATATTTTTTTTTGGGTAAAACAAAGGGGCACAAACGGGTTATCCAACCCTGAGCTTGTTTTAACTAAGCTTAGAAGTCTGATTACATTAAAATTTATTGATATTCCAAGCCCGACATCTTAAAAAACAAGCATACATAAGTGGTTTTATTAAGCCCGATCCATATTTTTGGTTCTAAAGTGAAGTAATAATGAAGAATGGTTCCAAATTCCAGGTGTGACCGCACGTGCAATCGCTCAATCCCAATCCGTTGATTAGATTCATTAATTGGTTATAATTTGTTATGCGTGTCTGTTAATTTTTTAAAATTTAGAATGCAAAAAAAGCTGCATTTTAATTTGATGGATAGTATATACGGTTAGAATTCAGAAGCCATGAAAACAGCGCTTTCCATTCTTTCACGGGCACGCATAGCAATTAGCCCAGCCATGCTATCTTTTCCTCTGCTCACACTACTGCAACACTACATTTTAAACATACGAAAGATGTTACACAGTGAGACAGATGAATTAAATCAATAGTTAGAAAGGAGTTACTGCAGATGATCCATGTCCATGAATGACACCTTCTGATCTCATAATATTTCTACCATAATCAAATTATAGTATTAGCGCTTTGCTTAGATGATGGCTTTTAACTTTTATTGCCTATAAAATCACTCTAAGATAATCTTCTAGCTATGATTAAAACTTTAAATTTCCCTTTGCAATTATCACCCCCCGCCCTTCTCGCCTTGCTCTGGGATTTCATAGACTTTTATGATGTATAAATCCCAAGTGCGTGGGCATCATAGTTCCGCAGAGTTATTGACATGTTACGTGCAGGGATGATAATGAGTAATGACAATGAAGCATACTAGAATTTCTGTCAGCAGTACCGTATGCCTCCGACTTGAATTTGAGGTATATTATATATGTAACCAAAAGACTATACATATGCGTGTGTGTGTGTATGAATAGTCAAATGCTTTCTCCCTTGTATATATTATTCTCGGCTCCGCCAAAAGAAAACGATAAAAATAAAAATGAAGGGATAAAGAAAGAATGCAAGCGGAAGCTAATAAAGCTTTGACGTGGAAAAAATGACAAATTAAAGAATCATTGACTAAGGATATGAAGAAGTCTACGAACCACAAGTTTAGAACCACCGCGCTCCTTCCACGAATGACAATGAGAATGACAAAACACAGAAAGCTTTGATGCCACGTCACCTCACAAGCTTCCAAGAGGAGGAGGGTCATCATCTCCGCCTCATCATTCCATTTCAACAGTATCTTACCGACACGTCTTCTTGATCTGCTTCCAATATTTATGTGTGAATTATGATTATGATTGCATTTGCAGCCCTGCAATTAACAGTACTTCGCCCATTCTCTTACCTGTCTCTTAAACAAAGATATATGATCCTTCGTTGTCATGACAGTCGTAATTTTAATTATAGTCATAATTACACCATTAAAGTAATCATGAGATGCTGCCTTGTGCACTCTCGTGTGATTGAGATCAGAAAATAATCTCAAATAAATGTCCTAGGAAAAAAGGGGTCGGGAAGAATATTCTATATAGATAGATCCCTGTTTAATGAACGAGGAGATCCTGTTTCCCTGCACAGTAGCTTCATAATAATTCCCAACAGCCACAGGATAATCAATCTGCTTCTGACCAGTATTCATCATATTTCTCTGTTCAACTTCCACCCGTAGCGTCGACCTTTCCCATCATTCCGACTCAGAAATCACAACCACACTTGCTGTATAGTTGTTACACGTACGATTCCAAGGTGTTCAGTGGACCACATTGTCTGGACAAAGATTACCGGTCCGAAGTGGATCAGAGCTTTGGCGGATGACCTGATATTTTCTCTTGTTTTTCCTCAAGCTCTGACATGTACTATCTATCAAGCTATATATGCAGTTGCAACCTGTTCCAGCTAATTCTTCTGAAACGCACACAGTACAAGGGACTCGAAAGGCTCTCATCGTTTCACACCCGCGAGATATTTAATGGACTGCCCACTATACTCGCATCGCCATAATGCCATTAGACAAAAATCAGTGCAGAGTCAACACAATGTCCTTTATTCAATTATTATAGCCTATGAATCCAGCTGCCTTACCGCGACAGAGAAAAGGCAAAAAAAAAAAAAATCAAATCCTCGTCCTTCTAATGATATTTCTCATTCAAAAGCCGGACATCACCGATTTTTGACTATTCCTGTGGAGGAGAAACATCTGAGAGCAGAGACGGTGTTAATTAAATGAAACTATAGCCAGAGATTCCGATAAGATAAGCCTACTACAATAAGAAGTTGCATGGGAGTGAAGGCAAATACCTAAGATAGGTAAACCCTTCCCGAGTGCCGAGCCCCATCCCATGGTCCTCAGCCTACGTCTTGTGCCGTCTCGGGAGTGGAACGCACAGAAAGAGATTGAACTTGGAAGGCAATCGCTTGTGCGCCTCACGTTAGAGTACGACACGCAGAGGTTTTAAGCCCCACCCTCTCACATTGTCTCCATGGCCATTCCATCTCCTAGCTCCCTCCCTAGAGCTCGGAGAGAGTCAGACGCTGTCACTTGTGCTAAATCCACTTTGACATTTCATTTCGTGGGATCTGTTTCACATTTGCAAGCTCCATAATGACACCCCAAATCTAGTACTTAATTAAAGCCGCTGAGCTAGATGTTCCTCTATTATTGTCTGCTAGTGCAGTAATATAACCCCAGTTTTCGAAATTCTATGCCTGCCAAGTTTGTTGAAATATTTTTAAATGAAGAGGTGTTTTTTTTTTTGTTTGAAAAGTCATTTATCCTTCTAAACTAAGTAATTTTAATTAAGGGTTATAGAGGAAGTTATAAAATTTTAAAACAATTTATAATCTAAAGACACATTCGGATGGTTCTAAAACTAGCTAGAAGATGTCACTTGTGAGAGAAAATATATGTAAAAAAAAACTCACATGATAAAATGATGTCGCATTTCATAAAACAATTATTAAATTACGTCAGTTCATGAAACAACATAGCTATGACTTTTAATATTAAGCAAGGTTATTATAAATAACCTTGATTAATATTAATTATTAAATTCTATTGGTTTATAAAACATAAGTTTTGTTACTAAAAGGCACTATTTCAAGTATTATTTCATTATTTATATAAATATTCCTCACATTCACTCATTTTAATGATCAAACAATTAAAATTTATTGTTTTTGTCTTTGAATGCACCAGAACAAAAATGAAGTCAAATTATATATCATTTTATAAAATTCACTGTTGTCTTAAATTGAGTCGTGGAAGCACCATCCGTGTTCAAGAGTCATCACTATATCCTAAAGAAAATTCATCATCAACCCAATTTATACCCAAAAATTAGAATATGTGGGGTAAATGTGTGTGTTTGAATTAAAAAAATTCGCAGCTGAGGTTAAAATCAACTGAAGCTAGCAAATTGAGGTTAAAAAAAAATTTATAACTTTAATGTGATTTATGTTTGGATATCATTTTTTCAGAAGTCAGTTGAACAAACTGAAATTTATTTGAATGATTTAATTCAAAAATTAGTTGAGATGTATAATGACAAAAATAGGCATAAATTTTCTTGTATATGTTTTTGTGACTAATTTGATATTTTTAGGAAAGAATATTAAACTTACAATTAAATTTTTTAGAAAGGTAAATTAAATGATACAATTTTATTTTTTAAAAGTTAGAATT